CCCGATCCTAGATTACTTTCAACACTCAGAAAAAAATTTGTACTGACCCTGTTGGGACTTAAAAAAATTTTTTTAGCATTTTGCACATTACTAATCAGTGGTCTGTTTTTTTTTTTTTTTACCAACATTTGTTTTTTATTATGCTAGTTTTGCAATAGAAGCGTTTTTTTTCCTTTCATGTTCATAGTTGTCATGTTACTGTATGATGTGATAGGACTGTTAGACAAGTATTATTATATGCAGCTGTCATGAAGACAGTATGGAAAACTGATCATTCTGTCTGAAGTCTGCTCATATGTCTGACAAAACTTAAATGCTGTTTACTATTTAAGAACATCAAAATATAACATTCACATAAACCAACCATGTGTAGATTAAAGATAAGATTTATATTCAATTGAGAATCATTGACTGTTTAGCATCAATACTTGGAGCATCAGAGCTTTCCTAGGAAAATTTTTTATATAATTTACTTCTTATGAATAGAAGTTGCATGTACTGACAATTCTCAAGGGTGAAAGTATAAAGCTGCTTGCTGACATTTTTTTTTTAAAATACTTGCTAATTTGTGCCAATTTTGTATCATTTTGCAAATTGGGATGTCCCTTGTTCTAAACTGTCCAAATACAGTAGCGTTAGATATAAAATATTGTTGAACCAGTAATTGATGTTAAATGTCAACAATTGAAGTAAAAATTAAAGCTAACATATGGTTAAATGATGAGTCTTAAATTTTTTTCGATGTGGCATCAAGACTTTTCTGTATGAGGTATAGCTGATCTGATAAAGTGGACAGAATTCTTTCACTTGAAGTGAGTATGTTTTGGGGAACAGTGATGGTGCATTGATGACTGTGCTTGCCTTCAAGCCTAGTGGTCTGGGTTCCATTCTTAAACCTAGGTTAACAATGTGCTGAGTATCTTAAAGATTCTTGTATCTGTAGAAAGGGTTCTCCCTGGATTCCTCACTTTCCTTCAGCCAACAAAATGACTTCATCTCCCAACTTTACCTAATAACAATGGGCTGGCAGACCGACCTTGTGGACGTCTACTGCTTATTCTGATTTATACATTAATCAAAACTATGACGAAATTCTCGAACGTGGTTGGTTATCACCTGCCCGATTTGTTATGGTTATGGGACCATTATAAATCGGATTGGTGATAGCCAATCACGCTCGAGAATTTTGTTATAAATAGAATAAGAGAGACGGTGAGTTTTGAGCTCAGGGAGAGAAGCTTATCCATTTTATGTCAGTCGTGACTAACGTTATATACCTATGTAGCATGAATTTAGGTTTCATTCGTGTCTTATGACTATCGGGTTTCGTCGTAAGTGATCAAGAATTGCACTTAGGGTTCCTTTCACCACAATCTGAGATGGGTTAGCAAAACTTGTTTCACTCTTTCAAGACACCACTGAAAAATGATAAAGCGGAAACTAATATGAGTGGGATTGTAAAAGAAGGATGCGGACGGCGGAAAATAAAAATGAACGAGAGAAAATGATTAAAACATTGAAAATGTCATCACTGTTAGTAGAAACGAGGCTATCACTGAAAATAATGACCCGAAAATGTGTTAGCTATTATGTATTTCAGCTGTTATTTTACACAATTCAGAAAGACGAAAGAGAAAACTGTGGATACTGAATACCTAGCTATCACCAGGACATACTCTAGCTTGAACTAAGGATATCCCCACCACCCACGAGTTTATGATCTCTTGTGCCACCTTAGAAGCACCACCTAATTTTCACATGCAATTTTAAAACATGCACACCAAGTTAGTTTACTCGTGTATATGCTTGAGAATTAGATAAGAGATAAATGGGCGAGTGAACGGTGAATGAAACACTACTTTTCGAACGTTTTGCGACGAGCTTCTAGAAGCGATTATAAGATGTTTCGACTGTTGGTGATGTCAATTTTTATGCTTTATCTATTAATTTCATACTATTGGGATAAAAAAAGGACAACATAAAACACCTTAGGGAGACATTAGATTCTTCAATGTAGTCGCTGAATTATTGAGTGAATGAACTGGCCAAACTAAGTTGTTTGCACCTTCGAAAGTGAGCCCGCGTATCTACCTCCCCAACAGGGGCTATTTTTGTCTTCCATAATATGACTCTAGAAGTAACCAAAAAGTATCACCTATCTGTTCACTATAAATGTATCAGTCAACTCCCACAATAACAATATATGTATTTCAATGAATACCGATAAAGGACAGATCAAAGCAGTAGACATTGTCACTGGGGATATTTCAGATGATCTTAAAAAGCAAATGAGAGCGAAAGTCCCAGATGACCCAACTAAAACTATGAGCTTAATATACTCACTTGTCCAAAGAGAAACAACAGCAAAATGTGATTTAACAACCAATATTGATGTCACTGATGGTTTGACAAGTGGTGCAGAATGTATTATAGAAAGCATAGGGAACTCTAGCAGACCAAGTATTACATGGGTGTCTTTTTCTGATCCAAGCATTGGCAGCCAAGAAAACTGCCATCTTTATCACAGGGAGAATATGAAAAAAAAACTGGACACCAATTTTGGAGGTCACTAGACAATTCAGGATTAACAAGGAAAGTCAAGTGAAAATTATCAAGACCAGCTGGTGCAAAAACTATTCATCGTTTTCAAGGTGACTCTTAAGATGCAGCAGTTGTTGATTTCCCATCTTTAACAAGATATCATATGCACTATGTTAGCTTAAATTGGGTTCAAAACAGTTTGGTGCTCAAGGCAGCTCTTTGCATGCCTTTAGATAATAAATTTTAACCTTCATTTTTCTCTTAAATTGTAGGTTAAATGTTGAACTATACATGGGCATGTCTAAAAACATTCAATGGATCATGAAATTGTCCAGGTTCTGGTGGGTTCCTGTTCAACTGTTGTACTATGATGTCACAATTCCAGGCTACATCCCACACCATCAGTCTTGACAAAAACTGTTACCTTACCAAGGCTACTGAAACATTACAAGCAAGGAAAATTCAAGTTCAACCCATATTACCATGAAGAGAGTCCAATTACATGCCTAAACATATGAACAATTGCATGATAACAGATTCACTGACAAGGTTGTAAAAATCCACACTAGCAACCTCACTGCTCAAATGTGATAAAACCAGCCCCTTGCTCTTCCCAGACAAAAGAGTATAGGCAGCAGATAGACCATGTCATTACTTTGAGACACCATTATTGTGCTTTGATAAACATCATTGAGCTTTGATAAACATCATTGAGAACTCATTTAATGAGCAATTTGTACCTCATGCAGCAAAGAGGGTGTCAGGCTCTTACGTGTAGAAGGATTTATCAATCAAAAAAGAATATCATGACAATATGTACATCCTGTTCAACTTTTATAAACTATGATGTAAATAACTAGACCATTTAGCATGATAGAATCCCTAGTTTCCAACACTTAGCAAAGCAAACACTTTTAACTCCTAAGGGAACCATTTAACCAACTCAAGTTGATAAAACTAACTTATCTTGCAACTACCGAACCAATGCAGTTCCACAGTTTCTTTAGAAACTTACTCTCTTTATTCACTCTAATAGCTTTATTAAATTAGAACGTATTAAAATTTAATGGCTAGCAGTCTACATATCAACATGAGTAAATACAAGTTAAACTCAATGTAATGTAAATACATGTTAGAGGGCTTAACCAAAGTTAAATGACTTCATATTTACTTAAAACCTTACTCTTCCATGACTTCTTTCAAAGAATTAAATTTGCCTGTGAAATTCCCTGACTTTTCATGATGTTAACTTAACATGCAATATAAATCTTAGGGAGCTTGGCCACTTAAAATTGAGCCTAGTTAACCCTTTAACTCCCATGAGTGACCGAGACAGAATTTCTCCTCACAATATCAATACAATATCAACCAGATAGGTGATGAGAATAAAAAAATATCAATTTTGGGACAATTGGTTGATCCAATACTAAATTCTCAAAACTAATAAGTATTGTATGACTGAAAGTAAGAAGAATTACAAATTTGATCTGGGAGTTAAAGGCTTAAGTGTTTTGATCATTGCATAGATGTCAATGATGATAATGATAATGATGTTGCACATAGGAGGCTATAATTACAATAATTGTAGACTATGGCCACTGTTTGAGTTCTTCGTAGAGTTGCTGGAATTTTCTCTCTATTTATTTATTTATTTTTGTTCAGCCTTAAAGTACAAAACAATGGCCGGCATTGCCAGGACAGTATGTCAAGATATTGGGACATGATTTACAATGTTCTGCAGCTGAAAACTGCAAAGGATTTGTTTCAAATTTTCAAATCTAATCTACAGTTATCAAAGAAGCTGCAAAAAGGCCTTAGAAATACATAACGGAAACTCGATGCCCATACGCAAAATCCTTACTAAGTATGCTACAAATGTTACCACCAAGATGCATCACGGTTATTTGAGTTGGAATCCCGTATGGGAAGCAAATTTCTTTTCTATTCCATTTTTCTTTTTCGAATTTGTTTAGTTTTATTCTTTGTTTGTTGAAATCCAGAGACGTTCAGTTTCCCAGTTTAAAAAGGCCATTTCGTCAACACGCAGAAAAGTGCAAAGTACTTTTCCCTATTTCAATCAACGTAACCTCTGTTTTCGACTTATCAAGAGCTCGATCCGTTAAGAAGTAGAAACCTTATGCCAACCACGACGGCGGCGACAAAGAAAATATGACAGAGAAAAAACAAATGATATCATGGACAGAACATTACTTCCACACGTGTGTTCTACAACATTTCTTAGCGCTCCTCTGCAAAACAGAAAAGTGAAATAACCAAATTTTTCACAGTCAAAGAAAATTAATACCAATACACAGACGGTCCCTTTTTTACGGCTACTTTCCGTGCACCTCACCTCCAGAGTTCCGCGCGGTGAGCTAACCTAAGTTTCTTTTTTACGCTTACATTTTTTGACTTGCGCGACGGACTTCACCGAAAAGAAGGGACTACTCGTAACCAACGACAAATCAACAAAATTTTAGACTGAAAGTGAACGCTTTCAAACGTTACACAACAGATGAAGTCAGGTGCTGTTGCCGACGGTAAACAAATTAACACAAAACCACAAATTCATTTTTCGATGAAACCTTTCCTGTCATGACTGCTTAAGCTGGTAACTTACTTCAGCTTAACTTTAGCCATGTATGCAGCCTTAACCCTTTCACCACAAACAAATTCTGCTTGTCAGCACCTTGAGAAGTGTATGATGAACAGTATGGGGACTGTGCGTACTGATGTTTGGGTGTAAAGGTTTAAGACAAGTTTAACAACTTCCAGAGGGTTGAAGGAAAAAGAATAGCATACGAGAAACAGTTAATGGTATCACCAATCTAGGTTTTCTTTCTTCATTGAAAGGCGAGGACTGTTCTCGGTGTAAAACTGTGAGTACCATCGTCTGTGTTTCTTGATTAAGTGATCTTCTTTCACTAAAAGTGGCTTTGGCACATACGTTTTGTGATTCCAAATCATTATATCACGTTCAACCTGTAGGAAAAATAAAATGTGTTCTAAATCGAAATCATTAAGCATTAAAGAGCAAATATACGTTTTATCAGTTAAGCAATATGGAACTTTTTCCGTGTCCCAACACGAGGAGGGGTTGAGAGAATTCGAAAACGTTGTGCAAACCATCGACTGCGTCTCCGGTTTGCATAACTAACGAGAATTATCCCAACCACCCGAGACTGTAAAGCATAGTTTGGTCTTCGCGAACATTTTGTAGTAAACAAGATAAAGAATATCTAATGGAGGATTTTATTGCAGTACTTTTATTTGAGAATTTCCAGGAATAACGGTGATGGCAAAGCAGGCCGAAAACGGCAGAGACCACCAGAAAACACAAAGAATGAGTAGTTTTTATTAATCTTGGGTGTTAAGTGTTCACATCTCGGAATTTCTGGCGTTGTAAATCGTCCGTATTTCGTTTCCGATACAATTCCTTATGACGGGTTCCTCGTAACACAAAGCGCGACGCTTTCATGAATAAATACATACGTGTCCGAGAATGCGCATGTACACGCACCCTTTTCTCGAGAGTCTCGAGACGTGAGCTTGGGACGCCTGTGATTATATACGAATTTTGATTGGTTCCTACTTATCTACTGGAGGGCAGCCGCGTAGATGAAGTCATCCTCAACAAATTTTTGCTTTGTTAACAGATAAAACAAATACATTCCATGTTGCCATAGGTTTGTATAGTTACAGATCACGGAACTCTTATTTTCATAACCTAACTTGCTGTTTCCTGGTATTTGGCTGATGTTCTTTTCAACGCCTAATTCCGTGAGGAAATCCGCCTGGGTTTCTTCCCTATTGCATGGACAAATTGCAAAGATACCCAATAGGAGTGCATAAATTCTTCATCGATTTTTAGCTTATGTAAACATGGGCTACTGGATTGATCAGAGGCGGACAAAAATAATCCTGTCAAAGAAGACCTGTGGAATTTATTTGCGCATATCTTTGATTAAACTGACTAGCGGTCACATTAAGTGCGTTCTAAGGTATTTTCATCTCGAGGTAGAACACTCATCAGATACAAGCAAGAGAAAACCGTCCAAGCAAAGATCATTGCGTTACAATGCAAATATATATTGATCTACTTTGAGGCGAAACGTGGCATAGAATCACAGGCAGCCCAAGCTCCAGCTGTGAGATGATCATCTTGCGGAATACAAGTCGTGGCGAAAATATAAGAATTTGGCTAGGAATATTAACGACCGCTCTTTAGAGGTTGAAATTCAGTCAAATTATAAATAAAAATACCTCACATTGCATCGCTTGTTGTCTCACCGCTCACTTTGTTGTAAGGAGGCCATTTTGGCGAGTTATCCATTTCCAGGTCCTTCTCTTAGGAGTAGTAAACTTAGAAATAGATAACGCGCTAAAATGGCCCCGTTGAAACAAAGTAAACGGTCACAAAACAAGCATTGCACTGTGAAAGTAAGGTGAGGTATTTTTATGGAGAATTTGCCAGCATCTTTTATTCCTAAGAGCGGCCGTAAATATTCCCATACAAACTCTGAAATTTTCGTCACGACTCTTATTTCGGAAGATGACCATCTCACAGCTGGAGCTTGGGCTGCCTGTGATGGAATGAAAAATAGTTGAATTCGGCCTGTGCAGGCGAGGAAAGATTTGGATTCCAGCAGCTAAATTTGACGAATTTTGCAAACGGAAATTCGATAAACGCAGGATAATATTTTGAGCTGTTTCTGTAGGCTGTGTTTACGTTAATCATTCTGCGGAGTTGGATGTTTATCATAGTCGTGGATCTCAGCTTTTGAAATAAGAGCAACCTTGCATTGCTATAAGACTACTAATTACAAGCTAACAACTACGCCTTAATCCATATTCATTAAATAAGGTTGTGTTTTTCCGAGATGAGTGTACTTTTTTGTGTGGTTAACTTGAAAGTATGTAATCAAATCTACAGATGAACGACATTAATCTCTCACCTTGCCTAAGGTCTATTTTGAAATCGACAATGGTCTCGAAATATCCCAAAATTAACTACAGCTCGCTAGGAAATAACTCAGTTCAGTCTTTTAGTTGTATTAAAGTGTGTACAGCCTGTTTAATTACTTAGATTTACGTTTTTGAAAAACAAATCACGACGGCCTAAAATATACGTCCTCAAAGGAAGAAGTCGTTGTCAGCGGAGATGGTATTTGCTTTTACCGAGGTCAAGCCTTTTCCTGAGCCAACCGATATCCTGTTGCCTAAACAGTGCGAAACCTCTAGCGGATACTGGCATAAACACGAGACGATCAGTGGGTCGAGTTCCAATTTGTTTCAGAAAAGTCCAAAGGTTTTTGAGTTGCCACTCTTCGCTATTTTCAACTACATAAACAGTCACAGTTTCTTCAACACTAAAACTTTCTACAATAATTTCTTCGGCTGATCTAAATGACTAATCGTGCACCTTTCAATGAATGGTACGTTCAGTAGCAAACGCATCCCACAAAATCGCCTTTAGGCGTGTTGTTCCTCTAAATCACCTGAGGCACCTTCAACTGTTGTATTGCTAATTTATAAAACTACTCTTATCTGCCACACTATGTACATTTCCTTTCCATCCTGATCCTTTTGACGAATGGTGCAATTTGTATCAAATGGTACGATGATTTTGATAAGAACAGTTCTCCTTTTATTCAGTTCATGAATTCTTCTAAGTGCCAATGACACGATTTTTTTTCTTTTTTTTTTGCGTTTTCTGATTGATAGCCGTATTTGAAACTTAAAACTTAAAAAGGATTGACCTCAGCTTTTAGCGAGTTCTCCTACACCATTTTTTGCGCATTGGAAGTACATGGCCATAAAGTGACCCCGGCCGAAACGATTATGTTACATAGCTGTGACGTAGAAAACTCTGAAGATATGTAGGCAACTATGGTGGCGAAATGAGAGATTAAGGAAAGAGGACGAATATATTACGTGGCCGGAGCGCTAAGTGTCGACAAGTGATTTTAGGTACAAGAATGATACATATACACCGGTTATTTCTACACACTACTATCCAAAGGATGTAGCTGTATGGCCAAAATGGACGCGTTTCGATCGTCGACATCGAGGAGATTTTACTTTTCAAAGTCGTCGACCTTATGCTCCATCCCGGCTTTGAAGACGGCTGTTGCGAACACACACTACTGGTCAAATCAGGGGAAGATGGCCAATGAATTCAGCCAGAGAGAATCCTGGTTAAGGTGCCTGTTTCCAAATCGGATACGATTGTTCCACATTCTTTTCAGCTGACATTTCGCAAGCGAAGAATGGTGAGCTGCTTACTGTTGTTTATTTCACGCGCTTGAGATACGATCATACTCAAACTCCTTGTCTTTCCACATGACTAGATTTACAATTTTCTTCTCGTACGAAAATCCTACCATTCGTAGTTTCCATCGTATTTTAATAGCAGAAATACATCCCTTACAATAAAGGTCAAGCCCTTTCCTGAGCTGACCGACATCCTGTTGCCTGGATGGTGCGAAACCTCTGGAGGATACTGACAACTAAGGGGCCGTGTATTGTCCTAACCTAGGTTTCCGAAAATCCACCACACGAGCCATTGATCCCCCGCCCTCAAGAAACTAAATGAAGCAACAATAGCAATATAATTGTGATAACAGCACAACAATGAGATAAATTGTGAAACACAAATATTATTGAATTAGATGGTAGCGAATCCAAGTGGTGTGTGAAAGTCGATGCATCGAAATATATCGAAAATATTCATTTAAAACACTGATATCGGTTATTTGCTAGTAAGCGAAATGGGTTATGTGGCAATGCTGTATCTAAGATAAAGACGTTTTCCTCCAATATAAATACCTATTTGAGATAAAACTGAATCAGAGGACAATAAACTCAATCGTTTTCCATTTAACCGGCTCGACGGTGATAGCCTCTGCCTTTGCAATCTCTGAGGAAAGGAGCAACTCGCACTGTAACTGCCCGATGACTTCTCGGCCAAAAAGATCATTGTGCCTGGTCATACAGCTGATTATTTCGAATCTTCCGTCAAAAGTTAGCTTTGGTTTGCGGAGGGAATTACTCTTCAGCAACGAAACTCTAGAGCGCTGACCGAGGGGAACCTTTGCCGCACTTAGCGCAAAGGAAGAATATGTTATGGTAACAGAAACAAACACAGCCTCCAATTTTTAATATAGACTCCGCCACAGAAAACAAAACATGAACGCAACGAAATAAACATTCAGCAATGGGAGTTTTCCGTTCTAATCTTGACCTGAACACCACAGGCGAGAAACCGTCTTCATCAGTCTTCGTCGAAATTCTCGTTTGATGCATGCGGTTCCCGTTCGCAAGCTGAACCGTACACTCAACCTCCATTTCTTCTTTACTACTTAATTACGATGTATCAAAAATCTCGGTAGAGTCTGCTGAAGGTAGGAATACATCACTATCGGATTATTTCAAGAGTATTTCAACGCTGACTAATACAAAATTACAAGAGATGAAAGAGATTTGTAAGTTTTCACAGTTTTCGACGTCATCACCCGCTAACTCGTTACCAGTCTACAGGACACTTTTAAGACAAAATGAGCACTCTGAGGCCCGAAAAAACCGAGATTTTATTTTTTTGTTTGTATTTCTTCTTTTATTGGGATTGGTTTGTACATATGATAAACTATAGTACTACGCAAAAAAAAATCCGTGTCATGGGCACTTTAAAAGAAGAATAGTTTACTCCCAGTAATTAATAATTCAAATTATTAATGATCAATTTATCATTTAACTCAAGTACAGCGCTTATAATAAAAAATACAGATTTTACCTGAATAGCCTCTGCATATAGGAGAAACTTGGCCACTATTGTGGGGACACCTCTGGAAACATAAATGGAGTGGCGCATGATTTGCAAAAGTGGTTCTTTGGGAGTCACTGAATGAAGGAAAATTCCATCACCAAAGCTGCTTCTCCATTTCATGAAGACCAGACCTGGACCAGTCTGACGGGGAAAAGATCCAAAAAATAATAATTATAAAGCAAACCGAGTCAGTAATAATTTGAAATATGCACATGTCATTTACTGAAAAAAAAGACTTGAATTTATGAAAAGTCACAAGTTACTCATTTAAAGTAGCTTGAAGGGGTTAAGGTTGCATTTTGTAATGCAATTGTCTGGTACATGGGCTGGCCGTAGAAACCCAAAGCATAAGGAATCCCAGAAGTTGTAAGTCTGGGAAAATAGAAAATTTAGATAAACATTGCCATGTTTATCTATGTTTAAAAAGGTTGTTTGTTTCTCTAAGGCACTTTCAGGGAAGATTTCTGATCACCATTTTTTCCAAATATCTTTTATTTGTAGCTGTGGTATCAATTTCATGAAACCTTCAAATTGTTTCAGTGAAAAAATTTGTTACTAGAAGTTATCAGGTCACAACAGTAATTTAACCCCGACACTAACATATATATATATATATATATATATATATATATATATATATATATATATATATATATATATATATATATATATATATATATATATATATATATATATATATATAGAATCTTTTGTATCTGAACTGAGAGTGAACACCTACCTGCCTGGCTGTGACATGTAAGTCTAAATAGGGAATCTTGTATCCAAAGACTGATAAGGAGGTCACTAGCTGCAGACATCCAACATGCTTAGTATCCTCAAGAGGTTTCCATTCTGCAGACCAGTTGTGTCTGGCAAATTGCCACCAATGTGAGAAAATATGCCTCAGATCAACCCCACTTAGAACTGGTGAGCTATGAAGATGATCAAGGTGGTTGAGGTCTGCTCCATTTTCAGGAATCTCCTGGATTCAGTTGCCAGTGACAAAAAAGAAGTCATCAGTCATTATGGGACTGCAGACTTGTACATATTAGTTGAAAATACATACGGGTTACAGTTAATTACGCAATTATAATACCAATAATTAAGCTTAGGGTTAGGTTTAAGTTTAGTAATCACAATCAGAAAAGAGTTATAACAGAGATCTAACCTCCTGAAGATAGAGCCAATTTCTGCAACAAAACATCAGCTATAGCTTGACAGAAAATCAATCTTTCCAATCATTCAAAATGTTATTCAAATAACATTTAGTCTGAAATCATCACCAGAAGCCCTAAGTATCACTGGGCTTGAACCAAAAGAAATTTTGTCTCTATTAATAATAATTAAAGCTTAGACCAAATGCTGACAAAACAGATGTTTATGAGGTAACAAAATTGTTAAATTAACCCTTTAGCCCCTAAGAGTGATTGGCACCTAATTTCTCCTTACACTATCATCCCTGAGTCACACATTTAGGACACAAGAATAAAGGAGATGCTCATCAACTAAAGAAGCTCTTGATTGTTAAACAAATCTTCCTTGTCAGCACCTTAGGAAATGTGTAGAGCATAGTATGAAGAGTTTGCACACTGATGTTGGGGTGTAAAGGGTCAAGAGGCTAATTAGGAAGACAACTTTTTCAAATGCAACATAAAGTGGTTTGAATTGTGCCAATGCCACTTTTAATTCAAACAAATCATGATAGATGGTACAATAAATAATTAGCGAAGAAATCCATTTAACTTCTTAATCATATTTGGATGCTATATAGTCATTGTAAGCACAGATTTGTACAACTGTATTGTTTTTAACTGTAATTTGTGACACTGAATATCTCAGAATTTTAACTAAAAACAAGGCGTTTCAAAGATGTGAACGAACTTCATGTAATCGATGAGCTGCAAAGTTATATCATAACAAATCCTGGTCGCAGCTATTTTAAAAATTCGAAAATAAAAACATGAGTAAAGTAAAGCCTACCTCGATGTGAGCATTGATAGTGTGTTGAGTAAAGCCTCGATAGGTCCAAGTTCCGTTTTGAATCTCTTCGATTTCATCAGGATACCATGAAGGCTCACTTCCTTCTGCGTGATACCAAATGTAAATTGTGTGATTAGTTTCCCAACAGTTCCATGCTTTGGTTTGCGCAAAATTAGGAATATTTTCACTGTAAGGAATATCCGTACACTTTCCATCGCTCCCGCGAAATTTCCAACCGTGGAACGGACACTGAAGACGGTCACCCACCACCTGTCCACCGATGCCTAAATTAGCGCCCAAGTGCGGGCAATAAGCATTCACAATATACGCGATTCCATCAGTTCCTCTAAACACCACAAGATCTTCGCCTAAAATAGAAACATACTTGACCTCACCCATGGCTAGCTCGTTCGAAGCGAGTACGTGAAACCAGCCATTAGGGTACACAGGTGGAACCTCGCCACGTTTTCTTCGCTTTCGATATTCGTTAGCAACGTCTTTCAGAGGACGCTTTTCATCTGAGAAATAGCCGATGTCGTGGAGTTTCCGCTGCATCTCTAACGGGTGAAATAAAAACTTCCATACTTTCAGGATTAGGTAGGCAAAGAGGAGAGAACCTGTTACCAGCAGGCAAATATTAAAGTTTCGATTCCTCGTCCAAAACAATGGCAGAGCATTTCCCCAAACTGAGTGAGAGAGATCGTTTAATTTAAGGAGCATCGGTGATGCCGCTGCAACAACGGCTAGGAAAAGCGACGTGCAAATTAATTTGGAAGACGTCATCCTGGAAAGCATTTCACTTGCACCCCCCCAAGATGTTGCTAGCGTACGCAGTCAGCAGAGGTAGTAGGCGGAAGAGCACACTTATGCACTGACGGCATAGTTCATAACGCCCTCTGATTGGTTTAAAATTTATTTGACTCAACCTCAACAAACAATTACCATTATATCGACACCTCATCAATACTGATTAACACTTGATGGACAGCACGTTTTTCCTCTTGAAAAATGTCTGATTTTCAAATCGGTAACATTTAATCTTTATCGCAAGACTGTCTGAATGCGTGTCCATTTATGCAGGCACTTTCCCTTTAAGAGGTGAAACAAGATTTCAAGTAGTCATCACGTAATTGCTGTACTGAACGAGAGAGGCCCGATAACGAAACAGAACTCTTGTTCATAGGCCACACAGTTGATAACGCCTTCTGACTGGTTCATGGGTTGGCATGTGGCCACGGAACAGTTTTTCGCGGAAAATTCTGAAAACTTAGGTTAGTTTTCCCAAGTAAAATTTTTATAAGAAAAATGCAAAAATTTCAAGAAGATTTCCTCAAAAGGAAGTGCAGATAGTGTTAGTGCTATCTTGATGCTGTAGAGAAAAGCACTTTTAAAAATGTGGTGGCTACAACATAAAAGACATCAAAATCGGGACAGGAAGTGAGTTGATTACAAGGCTGATGACGTTAAACGCCAGATATCTCGCAAGGCCTTATGGTATGTAATACGTCACTCCTGTAAAGACCACTAACGCACATGTCAGCTTGCCGGCGACATTTTCTGTATTTGATTGTCGAACATTCCCCTCTTTTTTTTTCGACTGCAGAGTAAATTTCAATGGAAATCAAGGAGTACAGAATAACTTTGCCCGTATCTGTCGAAGAATATAAAATTGGTCAGTTGTACGCTGTTGCAGAAGCAAGTAAGAACGAAACGGGAGGAGGGGAAGGAATCGAAGTGGTAGTAAACGAACCGTACTCAGACCACGCAAAGTATGGGAGCGGACAGTACACACATAAAGTTTTCCATTTATCGAAAAAGGTTCCATCTGTAATTCGACTTTTGGCACCTAAGGGTTCGTTGGAAGTTCACGAAAAAGCGTGGAATGCTTATCCGTATTGCAGGACGGAGTATTCAAACCCGTACATGTCGGACAATTTCTATATCTATATCGATACATGGCATAGGGAAGGAGAAGGCGAGGAAAATGTGCACAAGTTAACGGCGGAAGAACTGGGAAACAGAGTTGTAGTAGATATTGACATATCTGACAACAATTGTGTTGCTCCATCGGACTACAAGGAAGATGAGGACCCAACTAAATTTCACTCCAAGAAAACTGGGCGAGGTCCTCTTGATTGTGAAGGCGAGTGGAAGAAAAACGACCATTGGCCTAAAATGACGTGCTACAAGCTCTACCAAGTACAGTTTAAATGGTGGGGCCTCCAGACCAAGGTACAGAGCATTATCTTTAAGGCTGTGAGGCGACTCCTCACTAACTTTCACCGGCAGTTGTTTTGTTGGTTGGATCTTTGGTTCGGAATGACCATGGAAGATATACGAGAGCTTGAAGAAAAAACCAAAGAAGAGCTAAATAGGTTACGACATGAAGGCGAAGTGCGTGGAATGTCTGAGAAATAAATAAAACTGAAACAGGTACAATATGATCGACCGAAGTGGAACGTTATCCCATTACTATTAGAGTAGTAGTAAACTCGTATCATTAAGAGACGAGGGCTGTTTTATATTGGGTTTTCACCGCTTAGACATTCTTCTAATAAGGTTTTAATGAAGTTTTTTGTTTGTTTTTTTTTTTTGCAGTTTTTTCATCTAACATTACTTGGCTCGTAAATCCTCTTCCATTGTTATTATTTAGGTGAACCATGTTGCTTGGGGTTATTTGCAAAGATACAAAGTCAACAATACTTGATATGTTGGTGATTACATGGGGTGCATAAAAAGTCCTTCTGTACGTTTAACTTAATTTACGAGATGTATTTATCTAGGATTAAAACTTTGATTACCACAAAGTTATTCTTTGTGGTGTGTGGTAAGAAGTATTCACATATCAGGTGAGTTTTTGATTCAGCATGATGCGCTTAATAAGTATTTTTGGCGATGCTAGTGTCTGTTTCTGGTAATAAAAGAGAATGCAACACTATACTTGATGTGGTTAGCTTTAAGTGATTTTATCACGAAATTAACCTGTCTGTGCCCTGTCCATGGTGGTACTGTTTAAGATGAGGCATTAATGTTATCAATTGATATGAACCCTTCAAAACCTCTAATTCTGTTTTCACTTTTAATTGTTCATTATATATTGATTATCTTAAACATTGTAGTGTGAATCATCTTGAAATCAAGAAAAGATTCTGTTCAGGCTTTATGGTATAATTTGTTTGATCAAGTCTTCATCTTGGCATGATAAGTCATGAACTGGGTTGATTGATGTACCTGTGTGGATACTGATACTTTGATGGTTGAACATCCAGGAAAGTACAAGGTCATGGTTTTTTTACCTTGTCTAGTATAATGCATGATACAAGTACACTTATAGTACAGTGGTGAATGGAGAACTAGTAGAAGATATTACACTATGAATATATGGATTCTTGGTAAATCCAAGTGACCATGTTAAATTGAATGCTTCTGTTTAGGGGAGTGAACTCAGAAAGCTTTGATGTTCAGTTTTTTAGGTCAGATACAATTCCAAAAATGACTAACTCTTTGACACCTGAAGCACGATACACTGTGGTGTCTCCTCTAGGTAGGCCTGAAAAAGAATCCTATTGAAGAATTTGACACAGACTCTCTTTTGCATCTTATGCGCTAAAAGTTAAAAAAAATAAATCTTAGTTTATAATAGGGTTTACAGAATGTACCATAGCATTGTTTGTAATTTGATTTGTAATTACTCTAAAGTACGATTCATTAGTTGACTACAAGGCTAGATGTATGCTGAGATTAGTTACAAAGTGGAATATTCTTCTAAAATCACTCTTAGGATTTATAGCACAACAATTCAATAAACAATTTCAATGTGAACATTGTGTGGTTGAGTATGGTTGCTTCTTCTTTTGAGACAATGACCACATAAACTATGTGGCTTCTTACCAATCTAGTTTGCTATGTAAATCATGCTGAAGCATGACCTGCCAGCTCTTTCTAGTGACTTGAAATCAAGCAATAAGAGTTAAAGAACAAAATTGGTGAAAAGGAACAATCAGCTAGGATACTAATGCACTGGCAGAGTGAAGAATAGAATGGAAAAGTGCTGTGTTTTTCTGGATGTATAATTTATATTGTGGTCATGCATTATAAATGCCTAAGGTAAACTTGTGGTTTGGACACACTGATGGTATGTAATTTTTAATGGATTTTGATGATTTGCAGGAAATTAATTACTTTCAGGAGAGTAAAATACAGATGCAGCCAATCCCAGAATGACCAAAGTTGTAAATGATATTGTTCACTATTTTTGGGCCCCAGTGGTATTTTACTTGTTCTTGTTTTTGTTTCTTTGTCTTGCAAACTGGAAAGGTTGACTGAAATTTTGTGGAGGGAACAAAAAGTTAAGCTTCTCAAACACTTTACCTTTGTTTTCTCTATGTTTGATCAGCAACAGCTGGTGCAACATGCATCATCATTACCAACCCTAAGCCTATAAAGGTTATTAAGCCAGTGAACATAAACAAATGTGGTCTATTTCTTAACGAACTAACAGGGAGCAGATATGGAACATTATGAGCAAATGAAGCATTGTTCACTATGTAACCAGCGAATGGACAGCAAAAAAATGATAAATTGCTTCAAACTTTCATTTTCTTTCATACTTAACCCTTAAACCCCTAAGAGTGACTAGCATCTTATTTCTTACAATATCATCCTTCAGTCACACATTAAGGTCACAAGATTCAAGGAAATGATCACTAACCAAAGCAGCTCTTGATTGTTAAACAAATTATCCTTTTCAGCTCATTAGGAAATGTATGGAGTACATTAAGGAGAATTTTTATACTGATTTTGGGGTGTGAAGGGTTCATTACATTCAGGGTTTGAATGAGTTGTGCAAATTCTAGAAACTCATAGAATTCCACAACACCATTATCCAAGCCTGGAAAGTCATAGAATTGGAATGTGGGTCACAGAAAACTACTAAACCATTCATGTGATTATTTGAAATCAATAAAAAGGGCTACATCACAAGACTGTTCTCAAAAGAGAACTTGAAAAGGTCAATAAAAGTCAGGGAGTGTGATGAGTTCCTGGGAGTATGAACCTGATTTTAGTATTCCTCCTTTGTGGATAAAATCTCTGATATGTTCTCTAACTTTCCACAGACACAGACAAAATCATTGATCAGAAGGGTAGCAAAATACATTGAGCAATCCCACAACAACTACAAAAATTTCACCTGATGTCAGTTTTATTGTAGGTGCTAAGTGTTTAAATCAAAAGTGTTTCAAAAGTGACAAGTTATCTCTTCTTGTCTATAAACAACTAATTTACTTTTGACACTCTAAGTTACATAAAGTTACTTAAAAAGCAGGTACTGTTGACATCATTTGTCCTTCTTTTCTGAAGCAATTCCATTGTGAAGCTCACGAACATCTTTTTCCATGATATCCTTAAGCAATGTCCCTTCTTCATCAAACCATGAAGCCACTGACCTGAAATAAATAAGGAAAGTTTCCTTAATGGCATGAATTCTCTCATCACAAGAAATTGTAGCATTACACATTTGAACAATCCAGTTGGGTATTTCCTCACAAAGTTTGCTAAATGCAACACTTAATCACAAATGCATTTTGATCTAATCTTTTGTAAGCCATCTTGCCTTGCAATTTGTTCACGTTGCCTTACAAAAAAAGGTTCTAATAAGTATCTCAAACCCTAAAGGGAAAAAAAAATCTGTCCCTAGTTATCCTTCTGCCTTCCAGACAGTGTTTCCTTTGAGAAAAGTGGCAACTGTTGACTGAGAGCTGGTCATTATGGTGGTTTATAAAAATCCTGTGAATATCAAATAAGTGATCTGCAGATTAAGAAATGAATATGAAAGTGGTCTTTGCAGTGATGAAGACTACTCAAGCATTAGTGAAAATAAGGCCTGCCTAGTGGTGTTCATCACTGTGAAGATCACTTGTTAGCTCAGTTGGTAACGCACTGCACTGGTATCACAGAGGTCATGGGTTTAAATCCCATATGGGCCTGAATTTTTTTCAGGCCTTCTCTTCATTACTGCAAAGATCACTCTCATATTAATTTTGAATCCACAGTTCACATGTCATTTTCATATATTCACATGCTTTCCATGTCAGTGAGTCCATAATTTTCTTCATTATCAGTACCTGTCTGCTTGTCAGTAAATTAGTGCATTAATGGTCACTTATAGTTAGATATCATACTTAGAAATGGTCTGTTGCCTTTCTTTTTTAGTGTCACCATCCTTATATATGATAGTGAGGGAATAGTTGTGGTCATAACGTTTCAGAGTTGAATGCAAACGCCAGTAGTTATCTGGGCCCTATGAAAACAGTGATTTATTAGTGCTCTGTAAAGGAAAAATAACAAACTTTTTCAACTTATTGTACTGATTCCATTTAGCACCCTAGGAACTTGTTTACTTCTGATACCACAAGGGAGGGTGTCTTTAAAACAGGGCACTTTTTTTTTTAAGAAACAGCGGAATGTGAGACAGAGTTTTGATGAGACTGAGATGAATACAACTTTTTTTGTTGTGAGGCTTTAAGTGAACAATTAGAGGAAGATGGACCACAAACACTTAGAGTGTTATTACTGAAACAGAGCATGGGCATTTCTTGGAATAGGGGGTACTTGCTGGAATGAGGATGCTTACTTAATAGGGGTGCTAATGAGAATAGGGGTGCTTATTGACCAAAAAAAATTTGAGGGGGGGGGGGTGCTTATTAGAAGAAGGGTACTAAATCAAGTCATTACAGTACATCATTGGTCAAGTTCCAGTCTATCAACATTTTCACTGAAATCTATAACATTAATGGGTGGAAGTGTATTGAACCAAACTGTTTGGGCTCAAACAGAAAGGGTTACACAACTGATGATTTACAAGAATTGGAACAAGCTCTGAAAAGATTAAATCAGTTTTTTGAACATTTTTTAATACCTTGTAGTGATCAATCAAAAAGGGAAAAATAAAATAAAAGAAAAAATATCAGAGGAGACATCAGCTGTTTTGGGAAACTTTGAGGAACATTTTTCACAGGTAAGAAATTACCCTTAAAGAGCCCAAAAACCTTTCAGAGCCATGGAGTTTTACAACTCTTTTTGGGGGAAACATGTTGCACTTTGACCAAGTACCTGATCTGAGTGTGACCTTAGTCCTCTTACCATCTTAGAATTCTCATGCTGTATTCAGATTTATCAGTCAACTGTATTAGAAGCACACACCAAAAGCTCTAGGGTATATATCAATTGCTTGTCTGATGGTGTCTGCATTTATACTATACAATTGTGACTACACTTACCACCCCAGCTTCACTTTTCTGTACTGCAAACATTATGTAGTTCTTTTCAACAAACGTGGTAAAGATGGTTAGCACAGTCATCAAAAAAAAATATCTTTTGATAGTCAAGTAAAGTGTTCTTCATATGCAATAATCAGTAAAAGTTGGGAAGGTCTACGAAATGATAACAACTTTGTCACTTTCTATTAATGCAAATGCAGATTAAGTACATTGCATACTTAATCCTGGTAAAAGCTCTCACCTCTCTCTTCTTAGTTCCATGTATATTTTTCCACCTAGTATCTGTGCAAGATTATCTAGCTTAATACCTTTGGACCAGACAGTGAAGAATTGCAATTACTTATCTTTTCCCCCACTCTACAACTCACATAGAAAGATTAGAAGCAATTTTTATATTCTTGGTTTACTTTTAAGGGGTAATTATGATTTAAGCATAAATTTTATTTGCTATTACTATTTTTCTGTGGATACGATAGCACACATGTGATCAGTATCGGCCATGACACTGGAAAAGGGTAAAGGTAGTCATATATCAAGGCAGTGAGGGCACAGCAGCAAGAAATGGTACAAATAGCCAAGCGAATATCTGTCTTTGTATAGTCTTCAACAAATCCAAAGCCTTCAGTCAGTACCTAAAATACAAAAACAATATAATATTTACCAAAACATATCTTAAATAATTTAATCACTGCCGATAAACTGCAATTATTTTTGTTTTGCTTTTGTGTGCCTCTTGATCCATCCCTTTTTAATTACTAATGTTATAGAATACCTCTTAAAAGGGAGAAGTGAATCAACTCTGTGGAAAGATTAAGTGGTTTCTTTGATACATAACAGCCTGATTAATGATTAGACTTTATCAGCTATCTCTTGTTCTCATTTCTTCAGTTGACAAGAGCAATGTTTAGTTTGCATACTTCTGGTCTTCTTCATGTGATGTGTTTGACACCCCATTGTAATTAGTTTTTTCTTCTTTTTCAAAGATTTGAACCTGGCTATTTTTTTGAGTTGTGCCTTTGACAGTTGGCTGATACACTTCTCTAACTTCTAAAGTTATTGGTACCATGGAAATCCTACCATTAGAATTTATGATAAAGTTTGGATATTACACATGTTGTCATTGGTTGAAAGAGCGTGCTCTATCAGAGTAGAAAGCATGGAGCTAAGCTGAAGCTGTCACGCCATTTGCCAAATTTTAATATGTCCTACCATTTCTTAGACTTCCCTCTAACCTACCGACACTTCTTTTGTGCTCTAGCTGCTCCCTACTTGTTTTACAACAGAACAGGGTACAGTCAAGGCTTCTCTATTTGTTAATTCTATTCCATCTTTCCTAGCAATGTTGTCAAGGTAACAGCTAATGAAGACTGGCGGTTGCAACCTTTTCTGCATTTATGGAATTGATAAAAAACCTTAGAAAGGACTTAGTTGGCACTTATGCCCTAGCGCACACAATTATGGACTTTGTTTCATTTTTATTGTTCAATTTCAGGCATGCGCTCATTGGTCAATTCAAATTATTTAAGTTTTGATGACTCCATCATGGATGCACTACAGCTGTACAGCCATTTTTTTACAGCAATAACAGAGTTAAATAAGATCATCTGAAAAGAACCTCTACCTACAATAACATCCACCCGCACTGATGGAAAAAGGGAAAGAATATCTGAGAAAGAGTGAAATTATTTGCCAGACGATTCATATTCAGACAAATTTACTCCATTAAGAAGAGGAAGATAGTGTGGTACAGGAGAGGGTTTATTGCGAACAAGCAAGTTAGAAGCTGTGTAACAGTACAATACACTTCAGTCTTCGAACGACAAACTGAGTTGACCGTTTAGAATTTTTGAAAATATGCAAAATTAACTAAAAGAGAGAGACACAACCGCATTACCTTCTTGGCCGCATCATCAAGTGCATTTTTCACAGCATTACAGTCCCACTTATCAATCTTGACTGGCTGATCATCGATATTCCACTGATATCGTGGATAAAAAAAGTAAGATTAGTATCAGATGGTTTAAGAATCACTCTTACGTATTTCAAATTTATTTTCAAGTTCAAACCTTTTCAAACATTCCAGGTTTTCCACCTTTTTTCTTTGATCCACCAGAGGCCATTTTGTTTCCTTTGTACAGTCATCAGTAAACAGGCCGCAGAAGCCTGGGCAAATTTGTCAGCGGACTCTCATTTGCTCTATATTATATTTCCACCGGTATCCTCTGACGGTGTAATAGAACGGTCTGGCCGAGGCAAGTAGAAGTGTCTATGTCAATTATCGAGATTAACAGACTCTGTATCATTTCGAAATGGTGAAAAAGAAAGGGCAAAAGAGCACACAGAGTAAGAAAAAACTGGATCTTGCAGCCGCGGTAGAGGCGGCTGAACAGGAAGAAGAGGAAACCGATCTATCTAATTTGAACTTAAACGATGATGATGACTCACTCGCTGCATCAGCAGGAAAACGTAAAAATGGAGAACCGATTTCCACTGAAACTGGTACACGAGATGATGAAGAAGGAGAATCTGTTCTCATGAATTATAATCCACCTGAAGAAGGTCCTACATGCGCGGATACAGGTAAACTGGTGAGCGTGCCAAGTGATACTGGCCACACGTGATCAGTAGTTCTCTTATAGTGATCTGTTGAACCGAAATAAGTTCTGATTAAGATTAAAGAACGAGGTTTAGATAAACAAAATGGATTCTGACAGAGAACTTAAAAAGTTAAGTTTATTTTTCAACTGTCAGGTCATCTAAGGTTTTGGTCTTTTACTTAATCTTTTAAGCTTTGTGTATTCATTTAATATCTAATGATGTATAAGTTATGTGATTGTACACATATTTTCAATTTACAGGACCATACCTTGTAGAAAAACTAAATGAGAATTTTTGTGCCTAAAGCAACTTAGACTGGGGATGCAGGGATAGTTTGTACCATTTGTGTAACCCACAATTTATCTTGTAGAGTATGAATTACATTTACTTTTTTAACCCTTTAACCCTCAAGAGTGACCAGCATCTAATTTCTCCTGACAATACCACCCCTGAATCATGCAGTAAGGTCATGAGAATAAAGAAAGTTATCAGCCGTTAAAGAAGTTGAGGAGAAAAGTATGGAGAATACTTTTACTGATGTTTGGGTGTAATGGGTTTAAGAGGTAGTTGCTTTCATTGTTGCTTTACCATATTTACAGAGGATTCAGTAGATGTACAACAACTAAGCAAGAAGGAGAAGAGAAAGCTTAAAAAGAAGGTGCTGGTTTGTTTACATGTATAAGTGATGAGTATTTCATTTGACCCTGAAGACTTTCAAACAGCAATGACCCCCAAAAGAGGAATACTCTATAACAGCAGTAACAGAAAATTCATCTTTCAATTTTAGTGATAGGAAATTGTGAACCTTTGATATCTTGGCAGTATGTATGAATAGTTTTATCAGTTATAAAAATTTCTTTGGTATTGACACTGTAGATCACTGTGCCTTGCAATTTACATTATAGGCAAAGTTTGAGAGTGAGACACAAGAAGTGGCAGGATCCCAATTTTCTGTATCACAGCAAGAGTCTTCTGCTGCTAAAACTTCTCTTCTTGAAAATGCTCTAGACATCAAGGTTAATGTTCAAACAGTATTTTGTACCGTAATCTAATATTATTGAATTACATCCTGTAGAGAAAATTAGAGATTATTTTATAGTTGTTTGATTTTTATTTTAACCCTTCAAGTCCCACCAGTGACCTAGACAGAATTTCTCCTTACATTATCAGTACAATATCAAGCAGACAAGTAATGAGAATAAAGAAGAATATCAATTAGGAAATTATTGGCTGATCCAATTCCAAATTCTCCAAACTAACATCATTTAAATTGCATGGCAGATAGTAAGGAGAATTACTCATGAAATATTGGGAGTTAAAGGGTTAAATAATTATGGGTTAATGCTTTGGCCTTTACAGAGAGATGACTGTCAGGAAGGCCTCTCTTATTATTCCACATACCAGTTAAACATTCCTCTTTGAGCTCATCATTCATTACAAAAAATAGCAATCACTTTTGCAATTTGTTTTGTCATATTTTTTTCAAAATAATTTAGGTGGAGAAGTTCAGTATTTCTGCCCGCGGTAAAGATCTCTTTGTTAATGCAAATCTTAACATTACTGCTGGTCGGCGTTATGGTTTAGTTGGACCAAATGGGTAAGAAAGAAGTTAGTTCTTGTCTTACCTAGTATAAAATAAGCTAAGTTCACACAATTCAAATTCAAGCAGCAATTGACTGATGTCACTCCCTTGATCCAGCTGATCAAAGTTCCACTCAAATACAATCAATCAGTAGCAAATGAAGTCAGGAAGACAACTTTTTAAGAGGAAAAAATCATCATTAATTGTGGTGTAGTAATTACCTTTTTTTATCTTTAATGTTCTTTTTTTGATCATTATAGATGAATTTTAAGCTTTAGCTAGAAATATGGCTGTACATGTATGAGTTATTGTGAGTCCAAATTTTTATTATTCAACCTAGTGGTCAAGTTTTCAATAGAATTTTACCCCTACATAGAAATTTCAACATAGAAATTATGGATTTGTATCAGTGCCCTAAGTTACTGAATAGTTTTAAATTCTATGACAAGAATGCCAAGAGATAAATATGATAGGTATCAATTTACTTCCTCAGTATGGGAAAGACAACCCTCTTAACACATATTGCAGCCAGAAAGCTTGCTATCCCATCCAATATTGATGTCCTACTCTGTGAACAAGGTAAAGTAATGAAAAATGATAGATATTTTTTTTAATCTTTGAAATTAAATTATAAAGTCTAATTTTTCTCTATCAACTTCAGGAGGTAAACAAACATGTTAGTTTCTAGAATTTACTGCATTTGAGATTTTTATTATGAACCTTTGCAAATATCTTTGTTAAAAGAAATTGTTAACATGCTATTTTAAGAAAATTTATCATTAATTATTTCTCTGCAGTATATTTATAAAAATTAAGTTATGAAAACCTTTTCAATGACAGTAGACTGATCTGCTAAACCCTGAGGATTTTCCATTAATTCTCGTTAGGTGTTTGAAATTTTAAATGAAAATTAAAAAAAAAAAAAAAAAAAGAATACAACTGGAAAAAAAATATCAGGAGGGGTTAATCTGAAACTTCTCTTCATTGTAATTATCAGATGTTGAAGCCAGCGAGTCGCCTGCCTTTGATGTGGTCCTAAAGGCAGACAAGAAAAGATTGCAGCTTCTAGAGGAGGTCAGTTTTAATTACAAAATAAATACTTTTCCATCTGGTTCTGTTTAAGTGAGTGAATTTTGATGAATAATATTAAATGAGCCTACTGTTGCAGGAGGCTCACCTTGTTGCTTTAAGTGAAAATGGAGACGAAGCTGCTACAGAGAAACTAAAGGAGGTACTTGAACACTGTTGTATTCTTGTCTCCTTTTTTCAATATAGTATCCTTTCTACCTTGGATGAACTAATTGATGAAGATATGAGAGGATGTCAAAATTTATTTTAAAAAATGTGGCCCATGATTTTTACCTCACATGAGTGTGATCTGTGATCTACAAGGAATGAAGTTTTCTCAGATAAAGAAAAGAATAACATGTCCAGGGAGATTCATCTTAGTGTCTCAATAAATATATTCTTATTGAATAAGGACTACTATTAGTATTCAGTAAGTTAATCTAAGGAATTGATGTCAGTGGTTTTCTATTTTTTTGTCTCTAACCTTCTTATTATTGAGAAATCTGATCCTTGCTTAGTTTTTTTTAATCATTATACACCATGGCTACATGTGAGGGTTAATATAGATATTACAAAGTAGTAATAGGTACTTCTATTACACATTGAAGGTTTATGTTGAATTAGAAGCTATTGGTGCAGCCTCTGCTGAATCAAGGGTGCGAAGAATCTTGGCTGTAAGTCACATTAATTGTAGTTTGCTAAAATGGCACTCAACCATTTTTAGTACATGTCAAAACTTAGAGATTGAAAATATTTCAATAAAGCTGAGATGGCTGATTATAGTTGTACTGTATAATATTTAAACCAGATTCATATAGGAAGGAAATCACACTGTCATAAACAAACTCGAAGATGATCCAATAGAGCACTTTCTTCTCATCTCACTTTTGCGTTAAGTCTTTATTAAAAAAGTGTTGATGATATTACTATGCTTCATAAATTGATTGTGTCTTTTTCTATAAGGGTCTGGGATTTACGACTGAAATGCAGCAGAGGCCTGTCAATCATTTCTCTGGAGGATGGAGGATGAGAGTGTCCCTAGCAAGGTAGTGAATGTAAAAATGATTCAGATACTGTTGTAGCTGTAGTGAACAATAAATCACAAACATAGACTGAGCTGAATGGTAGTAGATTTTTACTTGGCAATTTGCTGTTTGGTAAATATGCACTACTTTCACTACTCTGAGGGGCTGTTGGAAGGTGAAAAATATCAGCCTCTCAATTCCAATTATAAAACATTTTGTTTGTAGAGCTCTCTTTATGGAACCAACTCTTCTCATGCTGGATGAACCTACAAACCATTTGGACTTGAATGCTGTTATTTGGTTAGACAAGTAAGTATGATAGTTAAACCATGACCGATACCGTTTCAAATTTCAAGGTTATATTCTTGCTAGCTGTGTCAATGGTAATAAAGATGTAAAGAATAAAGTATTCTTTTAAAATATTAAACAAAAACTCATATCTTTGTACAAGCAAGGGTTATATGGCAAAGTTTCATTGATGTATGTTTGTTCTCTGTTGTGGTAAATGATCTTGTTCTCAGATCAGTGTTTATCTCTTTTGACCCTTGTTTTTAAAACTGGATAATTATTTTCACATGTTTCTTTTTATATCAGCTACCTACAGAACTGGAAGAAGACTCTGTTAGTTGTGTCTCACGATCAGTACTTTCTGGACAGTGTTTGTACTGATATCATTCATTTAGGTATGTTTCGACAAAGTAATGCACATGTTGTTGATAAACATTTTTCATTTGCAACTTTAACACTGTTTTCATATTCTTTCAGATCAACAAAAACTTTACTATTACAGAGGAAACTATGGTTAGTGAGTGATCTAATACTTTGTTTTCACTCTTCAAAGACAGGTAAAGTATTGACTGTCAGATCTCATTTACTGTAATCTTCTTTTCTTCAGACCAATTCAAGAAGATGTACGTACAAAAAGTTAAAGAACAGGAAAAAGCATACAACAAACAGGTACTATACACTTTGTTTTTACTGACTCCTGTCATGCCCTTAATATGCGCTTTAAGGATACAAAATTAGCCTCAAGTTTGTGTCAAGATTGACATAATGATGGAATGTTTTCTGTTTTCTGTAGCAAAAGCAAATCAAGGATCTGAAGGCTTCTGGTCAATCTAGAAAGCAAGCAGTAAGACTTACTTTCCTTTTATTTTAACTTTGATGTCAAGTATTGTAAATGAATGAGATACACTGGACAGGCCTTAACTGGTTAAAACCCATCATTTACTGAATCACCAAGCCCCTGACTGTTTGACAAATTTCATCAGTTAATTGATTTACCGTAATAACTCATTTTGGATGTTTAAGAGTTCTCACAAAACCTGCCTGGTTTAATGACAATAAACTAATAGACAGCAAGGGTCTATTATTAAAGAATATTATTGTGTTGGAATATGAAGTTGAGCAATATTCAGAACTTGGAGCCTTGTGTTACTATTGTCAGTAACGAAGATGGGTAAAAGTTTGATACCTAACTGTGCCAGTTGGATTGAATAGTGAAAAAAAATATGAAATTATAGGAGGAGAAAACAAAAGCAGCTCAAGGAAGAAAAAACAAGAAAGGGGGCAAGAAAGACATGGAAGAGGTAGGCGATGATCAACGCTGCTTTGAAATAGATAATGGAGGGAAGCTGTTTGTCTTGATGAGAATTAATCACATCATTTCTGAAAAAGAAAATCAATTACAAGAACTATGATCCCTTATTTTCTGATTTAAGTATTAACATTCACTGAAAATAGAGTTGATTCATTTTTGACAGGATGATATTGAACAGATGGAACTTATCAAAAAACCTAAGGAGTATGTGGTGAAATTCTCTTTTCCTTCACCACCACCTCTCAATCCACCTATCCTGGGATTAAAATGTAAGTCAAAATAATGAAACAATCACAGAACATTACATCAATTTTAGTATGCATATTACTCTCAGGAAAAATACTGCTAACTTTGATGCATTTAATTAATGAACTTTGTACCCATTGATAGCCTTTTACAAAAGAGCTCCTACTGTAATACTTGTAACTTCCAAAGCCTTTTTTTTTTTATAGATCTTGTGATGTTTTCTTTGTTTTTTATAATGAATGACTGCATGATAATCCAATAAAAGGGCAGGTTCAAGTGATAATCTAAGCTATTTTTTCCAACAACTTTACACTACTTTTTTCTTATAATGGCTTGATACTATGGTGATGATGTAAACAGCTGTGACGTTTGGATATTCCAATCAACCAAAGTTGTTTAATGATCTGGATTTTGGTATTGACATGAAGTCTAGAGGTAAGTGGAGGACATTTTGAGAGTTTTCCAGTGGTATAAGCATAGAATGTCTTGTACCATACAGTGTTCATAGATGTTGTCAACAATACCTTGAATTCTAATGTCTCTGATTACAACATAGTGCAAGAATTCTTTAGGCTCACCATTTGTTGCTACTTTTTGTCCTTTTTTCTGTTTTAGTTGCTATTGTTGGAAATAATGGAGTTGGTAAAAGTACATTCTTGAAGCTTTTGATTGGTGAACTTGAACCGGTGGGGATATTTATTTTTAAAATCTACTTTACAGTGCTTTAATGTACGTGTACTGGTACCTTATACAGGTTAATGACCATTAATATACAGAAAGTTTGTGAATTCTATTTTGTCTCAGGCAAAAGGTGATATTGTACGGAACCACAGGCTTGTAAGTAAAATCACAGCTGTGTTTTTTGTTTAAGTGCAGATAAATATGCAAATGTATTGGTGTGTATTTACTACTTGCATTGCTTTTCTTGATCAAATTGAAAATTGTTTTGGTTTTGTGATTTGTAGCATTAATATTCCAAATTTTAAAGTCTAATTTGCTTCCAAGTGATAATTATCTGGCATCTATTTGTTGTTTTTATAGCGCATTGGATCTTACAACCAGCATTCTGCTGATCAGGTGATATACATTTATATGCTTTGAATGTAATTGTCTTTACAGGTGATAACGATGATTATGATGATGTTATAATAATAAGAAATAGTCTATGATCTGTTGTTGTTTAACTGAGGTTTTCTTTGTTTTCATCACAGCTGAGTATGGATGACTCTCCAGTAGAATATCTCCAGGTAATTAATCAAATTAAAGTTACACAATTGTAAATGTTATAAACGTTATTGCATTTTAAAGTTAAAAGAGAAATTGGCATCTCCTTCGGTGCATCGTTCGCCAGATTTAGTTAAAGTTTTCCCCACTACTCTTTGCAGAGGAAATATGACCTTGATTATCAGACAGCAAGGAAACATCTGGGAAGGTTTGGATTAGTGAGTCATGCACATACCATAAGAACCAAAGATTTATCAGGTATTTTTTTTTTTCCTGTTTTCGTTTCACTATCTCTGTTATCGTATATTTGAACGTGGTTGATACTGAAGAGCTAATAGTCATGCTCGTTTCTCAGGTGGTCAGAAGTCACGTGTGGCTTTCGCAGACTTGGCACTTAGTAACCCTGATGTAATTGTACTGGTGAGTATATGCTATGCGCAAACAACTTAAGAGTGCTGTCGAAAAAATCTCAATCGGTTTCTATAGGGTGTATCACATTAATGAAGACTCCATTATGTTTTAGGATGAACCCACAAATAACTTGGACATAGAATCCATCGATGCTCTTGCCGATGCTATTAATGAGTTTACCGGAGGTAAAGTGAAATGAAAAAGTTAGGGTCGTTATTTACACGAGGTCCAACACAAACCATGGTTTAACAGAATCAGTGGGCCTCAGGCTTTCTCCATAAGAGGGTTGATTTTATTAAATAAATGTCCTTCCACTGTAAGCTTTCAGCCCTCTCGACATTGTTCACGAAAATATGTGGTCAGACTCTGATAAAAGGTCTAGCCAAATTGAGAATTGTTAAAGACGCGGTTTTGTTAATCAACGACTAAACTTGATATTTCTCGGCGGTCTTAAAGTTCCTTTGCTGAACTTAATTTAGAACAGTGCAGTTGTTGGCAGGCTGATTTACCTTAAAGTGCGTGGGTTAACTTGCGGACGAAAGTTGTTTAACCATGATCTGGGTTACTCTTGCATTCTTCCAGGTGTTATATTGGTAAGTCACGATGCTCGTCTGATCCTGGAGACCTCTTGCCAACTCTGGGTGGTTGAAAATCAGGAAATTACTGAGGTCGATGGCGATTTTGATGATTACAGACAAGAAATATTAGAGAAACTTGGCGAGGAGGTGGTTGCCAAGTCTGCTTAAATTAATGAAACCCGATTTATTTAAGGTGAGGAACCCGAAGGTTCGTGTGAATTTGGTTTAGTGTGATTTTCCCTCTGACAGTTTGTTTCATTTCTTGTAGTTACGGACCGCTGGACAGAGAAAAGTTAGTCATCATAAGAGAGGATTCATATTAGTGATTATTACTATTATCATTATCATTATTATTATTATTGAAGTGAAGAGGGCATTTCCAATAAACATTTCTCCGACAATCGATAACCGAGCTATTCTCACTAACTAATAATCTGCATAAACAAATATGAAAAAACCGTCATAAAAAATGCTGAATCCTTTGGCTGTGATAGCTGTAAGTAATACTAGTAATAAAAAAGGGTTGACTTTGTTTTAGGTTTAACTGCAGTACTGATTTAGTTGTCTGGTAAATTTTAATGTTTATCAGTTCTCTATTTAACCTTCAATTCGGCGATATTAAACTTTCCCCCTTGCAAGACAGAAAGAATAACCAAAAGTGATGTTTTACTTAGATATCAGAGCCGGACGTATTATGGTGTGATGAATAGGTGAATAAACCAACTTTTTCGTTGTCTTCCGTCCTCGTCTTAGCTTAGTCTGTAAAGCGAAAGACATTGTTTAGATCAATGAGTCGGCAAGATGGCGGTTTTTCCCCATCAGAAAAAAATTCACTACACGCCCTAGTCACATTTGAGAGGAGACCTGAACCCTATCTTAAAATATTTCGACTTAAAAAAGGGTTGAAAGGGGAGATCATTGTGCAAGGCAAGCTCAATTGGTCCAAGGTCCAAGATACTGTAATGGACAAAGGCTCTCGGAACAACTTGGGCCCTCTGAACATTAAGTTCATGTAAGATATGGTGAGGTGAGCAGTGATTATATAAAGTCGTTAAAACACTTGATGAGCTGTCAGTTTATAATGCTCTTCCAATTGCACTGCCAAGTAGCTGCATACTTTTTCTTGTTTGATGGTCTCGCTCGAAGAGAACTCAATTGCTGTACCAGTACATTTAAATCCGGATTATGCGCTCTCTTCTTTATGTAAACCCCTTGCTTATTATAAAGATATCGTTTTGAAACTCGAGTTCTTAAAGTTTGAATTAAAGTAACTGTTTTGATTTTTTTTCTAGAAAACTAATAATGTACTTGTTTGCTTGTTTTTAGTAAAGAATAGCTGAACATATAGTGATAGGTCATTATTAATTGCAATTGTTTCGTGCAGAAATCATTGCAAAATGCTGCATGGTACCTTCGGAATGTGCCGTTCGACAGACAAAAATATTAGTTTCTTTCTTAAAGTGAGGAGTCGATTTAGTGCCGTTTGTGAAAATTTCTTACTACAGGTAATTTGTGTTGACTTCGAAGTATAAGAATGAACTCTTATTTTTGTTCGTGATAAATTCAAACAAGCCTCCCTTGTACAACAGGTGCTTATAATTTACTTGTCACAGCCTTAACAGGTATTGTGGGCAGTGCCGGCCGACAGGCAGTAGTTAGATCATCAGCTATGTATACAAACTTGTTCCATCTGAAAATCGCGTTAGTTTGAAGCTTTCACAAGTGCGTACAAAATGTCACAGGAATCGCTTCAGCATCATGGAGGTTGTCAAGTCGGAGGCCTTCCTCGCATACAGTGCATGAGCTGTAAGTTGAAATTATTTACCGGAACACGAGAGCAAATGTTCTTTTACTTGCTGCGTTTGATTTTTTCTTAAAGAGACTTCGTCTGGTTATTCATGTCACTTGTGTGCGGAATATTTGTTTATGATACTCCATCCAAAACCTCGCATCTTTAATTGGTCAAGTTGGGATAAAATGTTTGTGTGGAAGTTATGAGGCTGTTACGCCTTAGAGAACTCTGTTTAAAAACTATCGATGCGTTACCAAACACACCAAACACCAGCTTCTAGGTATTGTACTGTTACCGACCTGTTCTCATTGTTTGTTTGCTGACTTTCCGTGTGAACTAACAATTTATCGAAATAAGAGTCTGGGCCGTGAGAGCGACTCGTGAACATTAAAACCTCCGACCAAAGTAATTACACTGTACAAACCTGTTCTCTGTGCCAGGCATTAAAGTGTAATCAAGCGTTGCTACTGCCGTCTTCAACTGTAAACTCAGTTAGTTAACTGTAGTGCAACCAGTAAGATATTAATCGTCTTCCAGGTCGAGTTTAGAATAAAAGAATACTCACTCTTGAGATTTTTTAACAAAGCAGACAGGAACACTTTGCAGGGAGGTTTTGTGGATTATGTTTGTCGTCTTTAAGAAGTAATCTTGGATTGGTGGAGTCATCCGCAACATTCTTTTGTGTTTCCTTTGTTTTTTTCTTTTAATAATTTTTCGTTTTATAATTTGAGTGTTGGTGAAAATTTACTGAAATTCAACTCCACAAGATTGTCTGGAAGTTTTTGATACGGGCGAGGGTTAAAGAGTGTATAACCGTTAGAAAAGTTTGATACATAAAACACATCTCTTCCTCGCAGTCTCGTTGTTGGGCTGATATGCTCGAAATAGTTATCAGTCAACTGGAATCTTGAATTTCTAGCTGTGTAAAAAGGAATTTCTTGTGATAGTCACTGTAGCCGAATGCATGAAATTGAAAGGCGTAGTTTAATTCTTTTGGGTGGAGTTCCACCTGTCACTCAGGTGTCGCTCAGCTGTCACTTGTTTACATTTTAGCCAGTCAACCTGATGGAGGGGAACTGGGAATTTGCGGGATCGTCATTACTGTCCTTTGCTATATCCTTGTCGTGGTAACATTTCCATTTTCCTTGTTCTTTTGTTTGAAGGTGAGTGCATACAGTGAATTATATTAGAGTAACAAAGCATTTTGCTGAACTTTAACTTAAGAGATAACGAATTAGAGGACAAATCTATTTGAACAGATAGTGCAGGAATATGAAAGAGCTGTCATCTTCAGACTTGGGAGAATACTCCCCGGTGGGGCCCGGGGACCAGGTAAGGTCTTTGTTTCCAGTCGTGAATTTGGACATAGTATATGACTCGTTCTTTTCTGGAAAACGTCTTTTGTACGCGTTTAGGGTATCCAAGCCAAATGTTTTGACTGACATGTCACTTTAAATTTTCAGGGTTGTTTTTTGTTCTACCTAAGATTGATCAGTACAGCAAAGTGGATTTGAGGACAGTGTCATTTGATGTACCCCCTCAAGAGGTAATCGTTCATTTTAAATTTTCTCAAACGGTGGTGTCGGCTGTATAATTTTCTAGGAATAGGAATCCATTCATGTTGAAATATAGAACGTTAGGATTTATTTCAGGCCATTAGGCTGGCCTTAAATTCCTCAAACATTCCGAGCTTTATTAATTAAGACATGGTATAGTTTCTTTTAACATGGTCTAATTTGATTGGCTAGGCTTTGACACGTGACAGTGTTACAGTCACTGTTGACGCAGTGGTGTACTTCAGGATCCAGAATGCAACAGTGTCGGTTACAAACGTCTCAGACGCTCAGGGTTCCACCAAACTGCTGGCTCAGACTACCTTAAGAAACATGATCGGTACAAAGAATTTGAGCGATATCCTAATGGATAGAGAGGGTTTGAGTTCTCAGATGCAGGTTTGCTTATCACTTCATTCCCGATACTTGCAGCAATCATTTCACTTTCGTCTCCAACTTTTCTTTACTCTAACTTATATTTTCTATTTCATATGTCTGCTCAACAGTTGTTCCTGGATGACGCCACTGATCCTTGGGGAGTTCGTGTAGAGAGAGTTGAGATGTAAGGTTTCTTGCCATCGAGTTCACCTCCACTTCATTAAAGCAAAGCTTATTAACATTGAATGTAACAATTAAAGTCAACTCACCTCGGGAATATAATGAAACTATGATTTTCAAGTGTGCTCAAGTAAAACGCGTTCGATCTGGTGGTCATGACAAGACATCAATGAAGCACTGTTGTTTTAGTGAAATCGTATGATTAAACATGACTGTTTGGTTCTTCACGTGAAATGCCATGAAAAAAAAATTACGATAAACGTCAAAAGATAAACATTGACTATGTTTTTCTACAGTAAGGATGTCCGCCTTCCAGTCCAGTTACAGCGTGTTATGGCGGCTGAGGCTGAAGCTACCAGGGAAGCTAAAGCTAAGGTATAACCCTAATGAGAGGTTCGGTGTATAACTCCATTCAAATTTTTTTGAGGGGACAAACGGTTTCAAGTTGTTTTCGCCCTCAAATGCGCTGTATGAAACAAACAGCTGAATGCTTGCCCTCTGTTTTTCAGGTCATTGCTGCAGAAGGTGAAATGACATCATCACGTTCTTTGAAGCAGGCCGCTGACGTAATGGCGGAGACACCGTCGGCGATGCAGCTTCGTTATCTACAGACTCTGAACACCATCTCAGCTGAAAAGAACTCCACCATCATCTTCCCAATTCCTGTGGATTTTATGACAAATTTTTTAAACAAGTGAAACTAACACTGGAAGTGTGAGGATGAAGACTTTTACACCTGTAACTGTTCTAAGTCAGTCAGTCACAACTATATCAGCACAAGAAGTACTTGAAAACTTATGCCCGTGTAACACTATTATGGAAGTGGCTCTCTTGCTTTAATAGCAATTTAATTTGCCTTAAAAGGCGGTCGATAACCGTGATACCATGACGTCTTTGAGGTAGAATGTCAGGATGGTTGATGAACAAAAACAACAAATGTCGAAACTTTTTATAAGACAATATCTTGCACAAGAGGATTTTAATGTCTTTTGCTAATACAAGTCAATAAAACCTTTCTACTTTTATAATTGACTTTATAAGCAACAACATGCGACGAGATGTCTACGCTTTACGAACTTAAATGAGAGGGTTTTCAGAACGTTAACCATTTAAAACATTCATCATCGTATCAAATTTTAGTCAGCCAAACCAGACGGAGGGGGCAAAAGTTTGGTCAATAACTACGCCAAACTCTCCATCCAGCCCTGACGGAGTTGTAATAAACGGAAAGTACTATGAATTGAAGTTCCAAACGTTGTTTTTCCTGTATCATCTGTTCAAAATAAAAATAATTTTTCCTACATTTTTTAATAATGTTATCGTAATTTTTTTGCTTTCTCATTTAGGGTGCAAAACGTTTTGATAACTATTTCAAGTTGTTGACGGTAATAATGTTATGACGATCTAGATATGTTTGTTGATTTAATTTTACAGTACAGTACATAGTTAGGTAGCATCAAGTAATTTGTACAAAGTTCATCCTAAGCTTCTTGTTTGTTAAGTTTTTGAAACCCTCTTTACTATGAATTTCTTCGCTGTATTTTGTGAAATGACTCGATTCTTTTAGCTGAAAACTTTTAAATTAAAAAAATGTAAAAAACTCGTCCAGGCCTTATTTCAAAGTGTGATGGTCTTTGCCGCCAACAGGTACCACGAAGAGTTCAAACCAACTTAAACAAATTATGTACAATGGCTCCTGTTCTTCGCTGAACTGAATGTGGAGACTTGTTCGAGCTTTGAATGCCTTGGTAATCCAAGGGTCGATACGGATGTCAACCAATTCGTAACCATGGTTTCCGTGACAAGCCAAGTCTAATATGTAGTGACATAACTCTCTCATGACTTTTTTATAATCAGCCGGTCCAGTTTTCCACTTTGATGTAGGAACTACGATTAAAAGCGTTTAACGCTCTTAACTTAGAAAATGTCAATGCTGTCTGAGAATGCATGTTGGGACGAAGGGCTCGACTAGTAGTATTCAGGGGCCTGAATCCGGGTCCCTGAAGGGTTAGAATAACCAACCCGGGCCATAAATTATAAATGACATATGTCCGAAATGACTTATCCATTTTACCCTTGAGAAGTGTCTCCTTCGGTCATCACAGTGCGAGTAATTTCAAAATCGTCAGCAGTCAATGGAATCTACCTGATCAGCGGCTGCTCTAAGAAGAAGTGTCAAAACATGGCGCAGGAAAACCTCTGAAAGGTTTGTTTACCGTTACTACGATTCAATCTAAGGACTCCTATTTCTTCGTTTGTTTATCACTGATAAAAGAAATGAAGCTGAAAACTCAAACAGTTAATGCGGTGTTTTTATTGGCATGATGGCGCAATCTGGACATGTCGAAAGTGAGAATTACTACGACAGACCACCAGCATCAAGAGTGAGTCACTAACATCAAAGATGTTTTAGCTACCTTCTTTCTTTATCTTCATTATTATTATCTTTATTTAAACACGGTAGACATAGAAATTTTATCTTGCGGGGTCGTGTCTCTGGTCAGGAAAAAAAACTTTGCCAGCTATAAACTACTTGGAACATTGAGCTAAATTATTATGATAGGCTTCATTTAGAAGCAGTTACTCTTACTTGCTTATTTCAAACGTTCCGCGGCGTTTTAGATTAATTACCATGGGTAAAAACACAAAAATCAAAACGCATTTGATTATCAAGACGTAAAGTCTGAGATTTCATTCCGTTCAAATGTTGGAAAGATTGCAGAGTACTCAAGCTCTTAAATCTGTAAGTCCTAACCTAATCGATCATTAGATTTATGCCTCTAATGTTGACCAAGTAGACATAACTGCAGTTTCCCTTAGATGCTTCCAGGCGTGAGCCATTTTCAAAGCAGTTTGTCCCTTTTTTTTTTCTTTTTGATGATAATGATCTCGAACTCCCAGTTAAATCCTGTGGCTGATGTAAATTTAAATCAAACTAGTGGTTGAAATCATTAACAAAAAAAAGTGAAACCTTGAAAGATACAGAATTGTAGGGGTTGAAAAAGTTATTGCTATACCTGCCAACTCAAATACTTTTTCTTATTGGAGGAGAATGAGTCAGGTGGCAAGGGTAAAAACACACCAACTACCACAGGGGAATAAAACTCACAAACTCCATAAGGAAACAACAACTTGAACTTTCCACTTGCACCTAATCAAGTTGTGCACTTGGAAACAGAATGGATTTTTTACACTTGGCGATCGATCTTTCTATGCCGCTGCCCCTAAATTGTGGAACGATCTTCCAGGCTCTATCAGAAACACCCATTCTTTAAACAAGTTTAAGAAGGCCATTAAGACTTTTTTATTTGCCAAAGCTTTTTAATTCTTTGTATCTAATTTCATATTTTTACATTTTCTTAGTGATCATTTTTATTTATTTATTTAATTTTTTTTTTAATTTTTTTTTAAATTTTTTATTTTTTATTATCTATATGGGGGCTGAATTTTTAACATTTAATTGTGATGCGCAATTGAAAATTCTTATACTGATAATTGCGCAATATAAGTCTATAAATTATTATTGTTATTATTATTATTATTATTAAATCTGTTTGGCTTCTCCAGCTAAGGAAACCTTTTTTGTTGTCATAGCAACTAACTGCTTTCTGACAAAAACTGAAAAATAATTGAAACAATACCTTTGAGATATAACCTTGAGATCTACTGACAGAGCCAACCATGATGCTTCAAAGAGGTTGAGAGACCTCTGCAAGAAAATTCTGATGAGAACTTTCATAATTTAAACAAAGCAGATCTTAACTTCCCTCTAATTTGTTTTATTTTGAGTTGTGGGAAATAGCACAACACTTAATGACTGACCCCAAGAGAAACAGTGAGATTTGTTTCCCATTGACCCTACATATTCCTCATCAGCCCCTAATTTTCAGTGACAATTATATCTTTAGGACTGGTTACATCACACAAATCAGTCACTCACTAGACTTAAAGATGTTAAAAAGACTTCAATTTGGCTGAATGGAGGACCACATGAGAGAGAAGTAAATTGCCAGTGTAGCTACAGGAGTAAAAGTAGAGACAGCTTCTTAAGTTTGGAAACTGGGCCTCCTCAGTTACACATTGACAGCCAAGAGACAGCTAGGTAAGTGACATCATGTCATGCATTATCCTCTTTTACATACCGGTAAGTCAAGGGTGGAGGAAGTATTTTCCTTGTTCAGCTGTTAGATGTGTGACCCAACACATCTTATGTACATTGTGTAAATGTCTTATTTGCAATGAAAACATTCAAGTTGTCGTAAGGTTGTTGATAGTCATGTAAGTTGTAAGTCTTATATGTCACCCATGTGAATTTTAAACTTATGAACCCAAACACTTAAATTAAGTGCATTTTATCATTGGGCACTTGAAGAGATTGGAGTAGCTAAGAAGGAAAATCTGAGTTGTAACCTGGTGGTAGGATCTGTTGGTTGAATGAGTTCAAATTCTTGTACAAACACATCATTCTGTAATTTAAAATGCTTTATTCATTGGTTCATTTAAGTACACCTCTACAGAAACTCCTCTGCCTGAAACTGCCAAATGTTTTTCTGTTCACTGACTTGTAAATGCTGTTTCTGTTTATTTGTTGATTTAACTCAAGGACAATATTTGATTGATTCATGATGTTCATGTTGTTCAATAGCATGAAAGACTTGTCTGTACCTGAAATAATGAAACAGTTCCATGAAAGGCAGAAATCCAAACTAAAAAGGAGGCCCCAGTCATCTACTGTGTATTCATCCAGGAGTGCAGAGAAGAAGCAAGACTGGCAGAAACCCTCTGAAAACAACTACAGTGCATTTATTTCAGGTTGCTAAAATTAATTGATGCCAGGACTCACCAGGAGGCTTGGCAAAAGTACTGTTTTTTGTTTTGTTTTCCTCACTGGTATCTGGTGAAATAGGTAGAATTAATTAGGCTCAGGTAAACAAATGACAACATCATAATCATTTTATTGTCAAGCATTTGAAAGGCAAGAATTTTTGCAAAATAAGTGATCAGCAATGAAAAAAAAAAATACATAAGTTGATAATAATACAGACTGAGATATTTCTTCTGACCATTTACCTTTAAAAGGCACTGAACATTTATTTAAAACAATGTACTATCATTCCTACTACAATTGGTGTTGTCATCTGTGATTGCAAATATAATTTCATTCATGAATGACATTCAATTTATTTTTAGTAAAAGGGCAAACAGTGACACCTCAGCATCGTCCACCTCTGGGGTCCTTGCCACTCAGGGAAACAAAGAAAGATAATACTTCTTACAAAGGTTGGTAGAATGAACTTGACTATCAGCAAACAATCAAAACACTAATGGGATACATCTCCTCTAATATCCTGAATGCAATCATAATTTTTTTTTATAGGTCTGTTTTTTCTAATGTGTTTGTATTTTTTCCACGTACGTATTTATAGGATTAGTGTATCTTGATCGTCAGCAAGAGGAGCTGGATCGCAGCTTGGCACCGCATGACCTTTGGCGATACTCTGCGGCATTCTGTGAAGATGAAGATTCTGAGAGTACCAATCCCCCTCCACCACCTCCCAGAGCCTCTCCAGAACCATCGTCACCAAAACTAAATTGGCCTGAAGTTTTACAATCAGCCGAAGAAGCTTACAGTGAGGAAGACGATGATGATGATTTGGTCGATGAATCTCAGGAGACAAGGTCGATATCTTCGGCTGGCTCGCGTTCTTTGGTGTTCGCAATTCCAACAGGAGGTAATGAAGGTACCGAAAGTGATGATGAACAGACTCCGAGTCTCTTAGACACTGGCAGAGGGTCTTCTGATTATGTTGCCAGGAGCGAGTCTATGCTTCATAAAATATGTGATAAAAGTCAAGCAGAGAGTGCTGTAATATCTGATATGCTAGTCGACATGAAAAGCACGAACGAAAAGATCAGTCAGCTTCGAATCAGCCCAAGAGATTTAGATCTGGAATTAACCTGTGACGCCACAACCCCTTCAGTTCTTTTGGCAAAGATGGAAATAGAATGCACCGCTGGCACTGATCAAGAATCAACGCCACAACATGAAATCGAATACGAAACCATGTGGGTTGAAGAGCCTCAGGTCTCGAACAGGTTGAATGCTCTTTCCAACCGATTTCCCCGAGCCTGTTCAGCAAGATATATGACTCAGCAGAAAACTTCGCGTGTTAGAAAACAACAAAGCGAAAGTTCTCTTGCACTGAAAGGAAAAACAATGGAATTCTTCAATCCGGAGGACTTAGTGGCGAAAAACCTTTCAAGAGACCAACGAAAAAATCCAAGACATAATGACTTTACTGGGGAAGAACATGAAATGCTTGAAATGAGAGAAGACACCGATCCAGACAAGGTGGGTTGAAAATGTGCCGATTTGCGCAATGTGTGATGAGTAATGAGACTAATGAATAATAAGAGTTGTACTCTTCTTCACGGTGTACATGTATATCCACCACTAAACAAGTTGCATTTTACTCCTTTTTACAATTTGAAGAGACATTATGCGCAGAGTGTTCATGTTCGACTCCATAATCGTTAATATGCATCATTTTTGCGTGATATTTTCTGCGAAATGTTGTTTTCTTCCACCTTGATGAGCTTGATTTCGTGTTTCAAGCAAAATTGAATACTTTTTCAGGTTGTTACAAAACCGCCGTTACCAAAATGGAATACCTCAAAAACCAAGAAAAGACATAAATTGAAACAGAAACGACAGTCTGGCACTGAAAATTCAAGTGACAGCAGTATCCTGGATCAACCATCAAAGTCTTCTCTACGAAAGTCAAGCTCTGAAGGCAATATCCATTTGTATCAGGCAGCAGATACCAATTTGTCACCGGGCAGCAATCTGAAACTCAAATCTGTAACGTTTAGACGAGATGTTTTGAGTCAAGTTGATGACGTTAAAATTCCCCTCGACTCTTCTCAACTCCCCACTTACTCCAGTGTTGAGGCGGAAATTGTCGCCAAACCTGCTGTACAAACTTGTGCTTGGTCTCAAAGTTCAGGAGTTGTTATAAACAATGGTTTGGAAATGAAGGAGGCTAACCTACAGGAACAAGAAATCTCAGCAGTAGAGATTACCGACAAAGAATCAAGACTCAGTCATACTCGAAAAACAGCTCAAAGTTCACGAGCAAAACTTTTGGCCAAAATGAAAGAACTGCCAGGTGATGAGGAACTATGTCCGTGCAGAACAGTTACCAGACCCACTACGGCTTTGATAACAGAGTTAAGGAACTCGAAATCTAGAACAAAAGAGACATCCTTGAAGAATGATAAATTATTAGTATGTTTGTACCTTGCTTTACGATTTGTCTTGGTGTTCAATCAAGTTTTTTTTTATAGTTTAGTAGGTTGTCTTTATTACCGGCCATTCAAATAAACCGTTATCTCACATGGAACTCCTCTTTACAGAAACATCGTGTTACTAGGCCCAGCTCCGCGCCGCTCAAACGCTCGTCAGGCAACGGAGATATATTGAGACTAGAAAAACCTCACTCACCAGGTAGCAAACCTCGTGCCATGTCTGCTAAAGGACAGGTTTGTGTTAATCAGAATACATAATAACCATTTAATGAAAGCATCGCTGAGTGCGACAAGTGTTTTTAGTGTGTTTTGCATATCATTGCAATTCCTTTATAGGTTTGCTTTTATACCAGCTATAATTTTCCGCACGGAATGTTGGGATTTTACGGATCTCTGAACGAATGGAAGTTGATTATCTTTTAACAGCGAAAAAGGACCGGATCTGAAGGAGGACAAACCCGCTCCAGGCCTTCTTCAGCCCATGTTGGCAAGTTAAGGTGAGAGTAAGGCAATGTTTTTTGTTGTCTGTAGAAAAACCCACATGGAGTTTTCTCTGTCAGGCTCGTTATTGTGTTCGCGTAGTAAAGTTCATCGAGCCAAGTCAATTTGACCTTGAAATCGTACACAATTGTCGGTATTGTGTTTTCAGTCTCAGGACACCAATCTCTTGGGATTCTGTTCACCAGCGAGAATAGTTAGCAACCGGGTCTTTTGATTGAACTACTTGTTCTGTGCTTCTGTGCCGCAATTGCTTCTTTTTACAATGAATTATCTATGTTCTTCGTCCAACTCGTGTAGCTCCAAAGATGCTCGTAGGAGCCGTGCCGCTGCTAAAGTTCTCAAAGACGGATTCTTGTTCAAGGAAAAACCCCCGCCACCATTACCAGCAGGTAACATAAGTCGTCTTTGATTTGACCAACATTTTTATGTTCATTTGGATGTTTCTGTTCATTCTGTACTACTTCTGCTTCAACCTTTGTTTTCTTTACAGCTTCAAAGGAAAGTCAAAAACGGAGAGAAGAGCATGGAAGATCGAAACAAGACAACAACAACAAGAGTCTCACACTGCCGTGGAATAAGGTAGTGGCAATGAAAAACGACAAATTGATGTAGATAAGTGCTAATTTTCTAAACTTAAGTGTTTGAATGTTAAGGTGGTTATTTTTGCAAGTAAAAACAAGTCCAAGTGATAGGAGCAAACACTTTTCATTGAAATTCCGAACAATTTTTTTTTCCAAAGAGTAAATGTGCACAATATATTTAAAATTCCCACCGGGACTGCTTAAACCTGGTGTGTTTTTTAGTTCTTTGCCAAACAAAATGTGAAATGTGTCAAACTTACCCGAAAATTGTGAAATTACTAGTTTTCTCGTTTGAAGTATAACGTGTAGTCTATCAGTACTGTGTCGGCAAAGGGTCGTTTATTAGTGAATTTTATGGAATTAAAAGGAAGAAGAAATTGTAGCCTCGGAAGAATGCCATGAGGTCTTCGCGCGCCTGCAGGAGAAAGGAATTGATGTTTCCATGGATACCATCAAAAGGTAAATTAACATCAGTTTAGCGTAATTTGAACCTAATTGACCGCTGACGTCATTTTCAGTTTTTGACCTGATCGTAGATACAACAACAACAACAACAGCATTTATTTAAACACGATAAAAAATTCAGCAAAAGCTGATGTGGTCGTGTATGGACAATAAAACTAAATTCCTAACTAAATCCAATAAAACTAAATTCCTAACTAAGATTTTGCTCTTAATCGATTAAGATCAAATCTCTTCCCCTCATTTGCAGAACGATGATTTTTTTTTTAGAAAAAACTGTTTGCTTCGTAGTTTGGAAGACATTCCACCCAAGTTTTACTCTGCGTGACTAAACTACAAGTGAGACACAGAAAGAAAACCCATGTGAGCTTAGAAAGCTATCGCAATAATAGCGCTTTTAATTTTGTTTCCCCTCGGCCTTGCCTTTCGCATTATCTTCTTTCTCTCCGTTTGTTCGTTTGCCACGTAGGTTAGCTTTCTTTTTGTTTCGTAGCAACAAATGTTTTGAACTGAAATTTTATATTACAGAGGATTGATGGCGCCGGCGAGAAGGGCTGGTGACTACCAAGTGACCGGTTTGAGTTTGAGCTCTAAGTGAGTAATGTATTTCAGCTGAACGTGATATCGATCATTGACGCCGTGAAAAATAGAAGGAAGTCCAAAGAAATCAGAGTTAAGGGTACACTCTCTTTATCCTGTCTGATGCAAAGTACATTCCTGTTTGTGTGGGATCCTCGGTTGTTTTACATTCTTTGTACAGCTACCTTGTAATAACGGCTATAATCTTATTATTATATTTGACTTTTTGAAGCTTTTGTAGCGGAGTGAGCCATACAGAGATTAAGTAGCTGTGTTGTGATTACGTAATCTGCGTTGTTCCACTAGTAACCCTAACTACTTATTGCATCGGGTAGACTGTCAGTCAAAATATTTCTTGTGCAATGTTTTTCGCACAGTCTCCTTAGCAGACCAGAAAATTGGCTGACAGAAGAACACGCTCGTGTGCAGATATGGGAAAAAGCGCTGAGTAAGTGTGACTTTTTAATTTTAGGTATTTTATCATGTGTGAAGTATTTTTTCTATCTGATAAGCCTCTTTTTTGTTCAGTGACCAGGAAACTCATTAATGTCTGTTGCTTGCGGCGACCTATAAACGCGTCTTTTGTTATGCTGTCTTCTTTGTTCTTGTTTTTTAGTGAAACAGACGCAGAACTTTAACTCTGACTGCCTGACAAATCATTTGTGAATAGTCTTTGACATAAAAACTGAAACAAAGAACTCATGTGCATGGGCTTAAATTTTGGAAGCACTCTACCGATCCTATGCAATGACAAATTCATAGCTTTTCATTAGTTGCAACAAATTACTTATTTTCTTTTGCAGAAAATTCCAACTGATGTATGCGAATTGTCTCGACATCAAACGGAGGGTGCAGTTCTGAAACTTGTCAAGTGCGGTGTACTGCTCTGTTGATGGAGCTTAAAAATGTTGGTGTTCCTTTTGTCTCCGATCAATATGGATTCGTTTTTCAGATGTTCGTGCGATTCACATACAGAGCTCTTTCACGGTCCACTGGCACCGCTCGCAATTGACAAGGTCTAATGGACTTTCTGTGTCAGGATTTGTGGCATACATGTGGAAAGTTTATTGACTTAAAATGGAGCCATGAGGTGCCCTCATATACATCTTATTTATACAAGCCTACGTCTTTGTAAGGAATATTGGAAAGAGTATGTGTGAATAAAGAACTAATTATTTTCCTTGACCATATTGACATGGAGTTTATGTCAGTTTGACTTCGTACGCATTTTAGCACGATACGTAGTTGCTAAGTGGAAAATTTCTTGTCATATTGATCATTAGAATGAAAACGAGTGATTTCAATAGAATGCTTAGATTTTTAACCTAAGCCTGATTCAACATACTTGTAATAAGAACATGATTATTTTCGTTGTAGTCAAGGAGTGGTCATTGTATTTCTTAACAAGCCTTCAAGAAATAAGTATTTTGGACTTTAATGATGCGGATTGTTGTCTCGAAGGTGAGACGTATGCTTTGGCAGCAAATAGGTCTTCATCAATTTTGAGACGAAGCAATTTTTTCCTCGCTCAGTTGTGGCTTTAAACTCCACCACAGAAACAGCCGAGGAAAAGAGCTAGACACCCTTAAGCATTCGATCGTTTTGAAATGAAGCTTTTTCAGTGATTGTTATTTATAACTGTAGGTTATCTTGTTGGCCTTCAGCTTCTAACCCAAATTAGAGCTTACTCTTTTCCATGATGGCTCAAACTTGTGAATAGCTAATGCAGGATTTTGTTGGTAAAGTTGGTTGCAATTGATTACTGCCTTGATAATCACAAGATCCATTAGAATCCGTAATAAGCGATTTATATACAAACATTTCATATGGGATCACAGCACTTATTAATTACACCACGGTTTAATTATAGAACACTCTAACAACAGAGCAGGAGAGAATGACGCAGAAGAATAGTTTGTTTTAGTTTATTTAATAATCTTAAACATCTTACGAAAATAAACTATGTTTGAATCACTGAAAAAAGATTGTTTAACTTGGTTTCATCGTATTGTTAAGGAATTAGCTTTGTCTTAGAACCCCTTCGAGTTAGTTTAGAAGTGTGCAAAGACGAGGTGTGTTAAACATTGTTTACACACCCCGCACAGGCAGCAAGGCTCTCGCTGAGTACTTAACAGCAGTGATGGAAAATACCCGGGACTATTTACTTCAATATCTTTACTCTTCGTCAGGAGTCAGTTCCTTTCTCGCTGGTTGCTTTCAGATACACGGTTCATCTGTTAAAGCTTTGTCCTTGCCGCTATAATAGGTGTGACACGCATCAGGAGTTTTCATCTGATTTAGGTTATCAATGTCTTCAATTCAATTCTAATCGATTCTTCATTTAATCACAGTTTTCATGTTCAGTTTACCGGTGGCATGTTGTACTTGTGAGGTATTTGCGCACTGCGAACATGTGTTCTTAGGTGTGACATGTTGGGAATGTATCAGTGTTCAATTACCTTGGTAGCTATTCTTTTTATCAGACTGCGGCCTGTTTTAGTGGAATGTTCAGTTAGATATCGTATGCCGACGATATTTTCTTATTAACTGTGGGAATACAACTAACAAAAGGGTGGTAATTACCCCCCCTGCTCAGCTACACACAACAACTGATGACTCCTTCCGACACTTAAGTTCCCACCTTTGTGTTAATTTCAATGAATTGGATTCTCTTTTATTTTTATGTCTGAAATATTTTAGTCAGTGATTACGTCCTCCCGCGATTGCTACAGAAATGTTCATTAATTCTCCTTGTGAAAGGTGTTTGGCATCACTTGACCATTAAACATATTCCTCAGGTTATAATATTCTGAGAACTGGGCGACGCTTCTAGCAGCTATTTTTTTAACTTGTCTTCGAGTGAAAACCACAGCTACTTAGTCTTTGTATGGTCTTTGTTTAAGTCTGCCACAAATGTAAATTATGGGGCGCTGTTCAAAGAGAAATGGTAATGAGGTCTTCAACTGTCCAAAAAAACTGGGCTGAATGATTGTTTCGTACTTGTCGACAAAAAATGATAATTTTTACTATATCATCTATTACTGCCTATGGTTACTTCCGAAGACACCTTTATTATTGGACTTATGACGTTATTTCCTATCATCCTATCTAAACCAATTATCTAGAAATTATCGGTGAATTAATTTAGAACTTCGCACAAGAGTCGTGACATGTAGAGAAATAGGGCTAGCTAAATGGAAGATAGACGACATCCTTCAAAACGCCGGAAAATACTCCGGTGATACTGAGTTCTTTACAAAAGTCAAATTTAAAGTGGAAAACAAGATTTGTAAGAGAATTATCTGTTTGTCTATTGTTGATATGTTTGTTTAAATTATGTGTTAAAAATGGGATTGTTCTAGCTAGCTTTGTGGCTTTTGAGGTTTTTGTGCCTTTTCCAATATTTTATTCCTCAACAGTTCTCTCTCTTTTACGCGACCTACGTTGTAGTAGAAGCTAGCGGCACTAAAGCAGATAACGATCTCAAGAAAACTTTCAAGTTTGATGAATGACATGATTATATACTTAAAATTCTTTGCATGACTGATAACTTATGACACCAAAAGACGCAATATCAAATTAACAAATAATCAATGTTTTCGCTCCGGATTATTTGAAAGAAGTGGTTGTCGGAAAAGAAATATGATTTAATCTACGGGAAATAAATTCTCATGATAAACTAAAATTTTGCGATGATGTAATCAGAGTTTGAACAATCGCTGCATTCATCCGCCGTTTTCAATCGAAATTGCATTTCGTTATTTAAGCGTTAAGTTTAGCGTTATTTCATCTACTGCGTGACACTAGCTAACCTTTGCTGCATTGATGAAATTTTGCATTGCTGGTCGCTGCTGATAACGTTCACAATATCAGTTCTTATGAGGGCGCACAGACTAGCGACGAGAAGTTTGCTTTACAAAGGATGTTGAGCTAGACAGCTGAACATAACTGACAAACAAAGCGATTGGTCAGTGCCATGCATATAATGAATTTTAACTTATGCAAATTTAACATTAGCGCGTGAAATTCACCAGCATCACAAGCGAATTCAGCTGTGAAGACGGCGAGGCGTTGGAACTGTCCTAAATCACTTTTGTCCGTAAGATCAGAAGCAACCAGGGCGGCAAGCTGTCAGCCAAGTCATGCTATCTTAAGCGATTTCCTCGTTCAGCTTAACCTCCATTCGTCAAACAACCCATTTTTCAAACAGGTAAAAAACTGACATGGCCACGTTTGCATTAAAGCTCCTCTTGTTTATTACATTGGTTATCGTTGCTGCCCGTGGATCAAGTACTTGTCCAGTATCGTGCAACTGTACTACGACAAACTACAAACAAGTCTCGGTCGACTGCCGAGACCATGGTCTTTCCGAGATCCCAAGCGTGCTTCCAGACAACACAACAAGCTTGTAAGTGTACTGATTCGTCTTTCTATTATAATCGCCAGTCATGTGCTTCGATCAAAAGTACTTGGACACGTGAATAATGGCTGCTATCCGAGTTTCACTTTTATCATTATGATTTAATTGATATCAACTTCACATATGAATCATAACGCTGATTTTGATTTACTTTGACTTTTGTCATTTAATATTTCGCTAAATCGATACTAGTTTTGCACAGATATTAAATCAGTTTTGCTTGTGATATTCATGAGCTTTTATTTAAACCGAGACTAGATTTCTAATTTTGAGGCATTTAGGAGCCAAATACATGCAAATTGTCAACAAAATAACTGCTGAATATCAGTTTGTTTCCCGAAAGACATCAGTTCATGTCGGAAAACAGTACGATTAGTGCAAGTCTGCTCCATATTTACATTTCTCATGACATGTTTATTGTTTTCCTCTGCACAAATCAAATCGAAATTAACGGAGAAGCCAGAACTAGGATTCACTTCTGTTATTATGAAAGGTAAATACTCTACCTCAAAACAATATCAAGGTGATAACATTCGGTACAAAGAAAGCGTTGTCATTTTTAGCTCTCTAACCATCTCATAATTATTCAAGTAATTCTACTCCTAGAACATTCTTAACTGTTAACAGCGTAAAGGAGGCTTAAGCACTAGGTTTCGCCTGGGAAATTTTGAAAACAAACATAACACTTTATTTCTGGCACAACGAACACAATATACGAAAGGTGAGTTATACACTTGATGGTTTGAAAATATTTCCAATTGATCAACTATTCTAGAATCTTGACCGCTGTTCATATTGTTAGATGCCCAAGGGACTTTGAAATATTCCTCCAAACAAACCAGATGTAAATTGTTGGAATCTTATCCTATTATTGACAGTTCTCGATAAATCGTCAAAGCGTTAAATTATAATTCATTTTTTTGTTTACTAAATGAAAGCCCTTGAAGATGGCGCCGGTATTAGCAAATCACTTTGGCTTGTCGTCACAATCACGAAGCTGTTGGTAAAGGATCGTGTTGTACTAGAGGTGAAAAAAGGCTAATATCACTCTGTTTTGTTAGACAAATGACATGTCACCGTCGAAAGTTCTCAGATTGTCTTGGAACTCTGAATTAAATCTGGTCATGATTGCAAAGTCATCACGATTGCGAGTCAGTCACACAGTCAGCTTGATTTTCAATTCGCGGACAATTAATGACAAAAACATCAATCCCGCCCTACACGGTTGCAAGATCACGAATTGATCGAAACTTTATCCGTTTGTTCATCATTGTTTGATTTTAGGACTGCCTTGAAGTCATTTTGTTTTCGGCAAATTTATGAGTTGCACATAAATGTTTTGATCTCTTGTACACAAGGAGCATTCGTACCTCTTAATGTATTCATCAGCATGGAAATTACTATTCTATATGCTTCTCAACATGAAGTTGACTCAACAGACAGCAGGGTCTGTGGTGATTTGAAAGGAAGTAGTTAGACCATCATTTGTGATGACGTCAATCGAGCATTTCCAGTATGGAAATATTTCCCACCAAGTTTTCGATCTAGATGTTAAAGACAACCTTAATTTTACCGCCAAAGATAAAGTTAGACGAGCGACTATCACGTTGTCCCACGAATTTCTAATATATGGGCGCTAAGATTGACTGCGTTGTGAATCGTCAATACTGTATTGAGTGAACCAAAGTTTTCTCCCGTATAGGTCAACAGACTTAACGAGAATGTTCCAACCTTGTTACCACGATTTTTTCGATTATCTTGTTCAGTATCTGCACTCGAAACCCGCCGCTATTTGGCTCACTAATCAGCAATAATGACCCCTGATGAAGACACTAGACAGGAGTGTCGAAACGTTGGGTCTATGAATTGTAACTTCTTCGGTTACATTCATTAAATCTGCAAACCAGAGTAGCATCAAACTATGTCTGATTGTCCACCTGGTTGCCCTGTGAACTTTAATATATTTTATCTTAAGGAAATGTTTCATACCTTAGTCTAATTTAAATCTGCCGGATTTCCTATTTTCTAAATGGTCTTTATCATTGCAGACTGAAAAAATCTTTCATGATTATTTTCTTTTTATTTCACTGTAGAGACCTACGATTTAATCCTGTAAAATGTGACTGCAAATTCTACCATCGCTGGAAAAAACTCAGAACGAAAGGAATAGCCTTACAAGGGAAATGCTCCATTTCACCAGAGCAAGATGGCCCAGACTTTAAGGATCTCACCAATGATTATTTCAAGTGTGGTAAGTATTCTCTGTGTGATGAGAAATTATAATTAATTGAAAACGTTTTAGAGGGCCTGCTCTGTAACAATTTGTCGTGACAATCTTGTAAGCGTATCGCGTGACACTTTATTTCCTAATTTAATAACTAAGCTAAGGGTTTTGATGACAGTTGGGTTACTTAAGATTTAGGGGTATAAAAAAAAAAAAAAATATATATATATATATATATATATATATATATATATATATATATATAAACATTTATATCGCGCAAATTCCATGTGAATATATTCAAATGCGCGTTACAAACAAATATGAAAGAGCAAATTAACATAACATGATAAGAATCCCAACTGGCAGGAGGCGAACCAGTTGGCTATTTACAAAGCGTGCAGGAGTTGAGTTCGGGGCCACCGAAGACAAATCCATCTAGTGGCAGGAAGGAGGATCTGAACCCGGGGCCTCCGGCTTGCAAGTCCAGCGGCCTAACCACTAGGCCACGCTCGCCTCCGAGCAATTGAGCATAGGACGGTAATGGCTTACTTGTAGTAAGAATAAAGGGAGTAAGTTTCTAAAGAAACTGTGGTGCTGCGTCGGTGGGAGAGTATAGCAGGTAATTAAGGGTTAACAACTGGGTTGAAAATGTAAATTGGCCACCGTGAAGGGTAAAAAAGCTGACGTTTCGAGCGTTAACCCTTCGTCAGAGTGATTGGAGGAATTGTGGGTTGTGTGTTGGTTTATACGCAGAGAGTGGTGCTACGCTATTGGTGGGAATATGGTGATGAGAAAAAAGGAATAAATTAGTTGAATGAAAAGCACTCGTTGATACCGTGGGGATTAAGAGTGCCGATTTGGAAGATAAATTTTTGTTCTAGTGTTTTGCGGCTTTCCGAACTGCCAAGATGTAAGGAAAAGCCGGAAACTGCCATATGTTGTTTTGAATGATTAGGGAGATTAGGGTGTGTCTAGCGACTGGTTTGGATGCGCCCTTGTCATTTCTTTCCACGTCGCGAAGGTGTTCTCGGAATCGGTCACCTAGTCGTATTCCTGTTTCGTCAACGTATAACTTATTGCAATAAATGCAAGTTATGCAGTAAATGACAGTGACAGAAGTACACGTAAAGTGATCAGTGATCTTAATGTATCTCTTGGGTTGGGATATTTTCTCTACGTTATGAGTGAAAGGACAAGTTTTGCATCGTGAGCGAGTGCATTTGAAAGTTCCAGATTGGTCATTGGTTTGAAATGAACTTCTGACCAAAAAGTTGCCTATGTTTTTGTCACGTTTGAATGAAATAAGTGGGGGTTGCGAAAAGATAGTACTAGTCTCTGAATCGTTTTGGAGTAATTTAAAGTTTTTTAAATGATAGATTTAACCGCGTGGTTGTTAGGGTGAAATGTAAGAGTGAATGGAATGCGGTCAGTGTTCCCCTTCTCAGCCGTTTGTAGTGCTGACTGTCGATCAATTTGTTGGGCACGGTTGTGACCCGCTTGAACGACAGAAACAGGATAGCCGCGTTTATCGAAAAACTGGCACATTGTGGTGACGACTCTGATTTTTCCGAAAAACCAGAGGCAATGTGCCAGTTTTTCGATAAACGTGGCTATCCTGTTTCTGGATAAATCACGAACAAGTAATGTCAATCTTGGATTTACGTAGTTTAGGTGTGTGTTTCCGTTGTAATAGCAGATAAATAGAATCACTATCTTGTAACAGAGGACTTGAGATCGTTTGAATGTAGAAAGTTCGGATATTGTATGGATCGTAAATAAACGCAAGAAATTGGAAAGATACAGTCCTATTGATTGTCGAACCAGCACTCCGCAGAGATTTTACTTAACGCAGTGGAGAATTCTGCAACACAATTGGAGACCTGTACTTGATGGTTGAGTAGCAAATAAAGATCAGCGAGAAAACAGTTTCCAATGCTCATTGATCTAATTGCATTTTGGTTAAAATTAGATCGAGAAGTAGAAAAGGCGACAAAGTTCAACTGGTGATCATTCTACAATATCATATTGATGGTAGTGCTCTCTTGAAAATATTGTATTGTCTGATTTAATATAGGAGGCTCATCTGTGTCCAGTTCAGTCACAGCCATTGTAACTCAACCCCAGTCAGTTATACAAAATGTCATTGTGACCTCGTCACCCCAGCCCGTCGCTGGTTCAATAACGCCATCGAAAACAATGTTTGCAGTACAATCATCTTCCAGCCAAGATGTATGGAACGTTGATCGTTTGGAATTCTCTCCGACAAGTTCCATTTTCAAGCCCTCCGCGGTCACCACCACACCTGGAAATCTTGGGAAAAGTTCTGCCTCCATCATCCAGACTGGCAAACTACAACCAGCACGTGCTGAATCGGATGCGACTTCGTCACCAACTCGTTCCGTCTCCAGTAACTGGGTCACTGTTACTACTCAACCCACAACACACGGTAAGGTCCAACTTTGAGAACTTTCAGTGAATATTTTCCCATCCACCGACAAAGTACTACGCGCATGTGTAAGCACGTCGTTAGCCTTCCATTGTTAGTATTGAAATGTTTCGTAACTACGGACGAGAGATTTTGCAAATTGTTTGAACTCTCTCTATATATTCTTAGGACCTCCAATTATTATCAAATTTGAGGGCCAGCCAAAGGTGACTCTCGGCCAGACAGTTGAAGTCAAATGTATCGCCACAGGCAACCCACCTCCAAAAGTTCAAATGAAGTTCAATGACCAGCTTGCTCAGGACGTAAATGGAGTGAAAGTGACATCAAGTGAGTCAGAAAGAACAATCCAATTCAAAGCGGAGATAAACTCAACAGTTCACTGTGAGGCAACGAACGAGGTTGGACGAGATAAACGCAAAATGAAGATTGCCGTAGATCGTAAGTAATAGCGTTCATTGTTAAAACAACAAAACTAATCATAGCTCTTAAATTTTCGTCCCTGGCGAAGTGACACTGCGCATTATCTGTTACAAGTTATCCCTACTCTCGCGTTATGGATCGATAATTTAAATACGAATCATGATGCAGTTCGTTGTTGAACAGTCTTAGTCCTGAGAACTTTGAACTGGCGTCAAGACTCCAAACGCATCTTTGAAAAAGCGCTGAGCAACCAAAATCTGAGGAACAACAAAAGTTTTTTATTTTCAAGTATTAGTGATGCAACAATTTACGAAAATCTTTTAAGAGTATGTGTAATATGAATTAAGTTATTCTCGCCTCTTTCAGCTACTCAAACTCTGATGCAATTTTTAACGAATAATTCTCACCAGAAACTGGAGCAAATTACATCCTGTTCAGAGTGGAGTTAACGAGTCAAGAATTTCACAACAACATGAACAACAAGGATTCGAAGGAATTCCAAGATCTGGCCCGGAGAATTAAGTCAGAAGTAAGTCTTAGACAAGATCAAGATCAAGATTCGCCTTGACGAAGGGCTAACGCTCAAAACGTCAGTTACAAGTAACCTAGTTACGGTGGCTAATTTACATAATCCACTCAGTTGATAAAACCAAATTACCTTGTTTAACAAGATCAGTTATCATGTTCTGTCTGTTAACTTACTGATTTTTTCATAATTAATGATATCGTGATTCGTTTATTTATGAAGGGAGATAATATATGTGTTAATTCGGGCATTTTGCATCGAAGGTGCAGTTTGCGATGAACGATGTTCCAGGTTTCCTTGGCGCTAACCTAATGAGGCTTTGGTAAGTGGCATTCATTTCGTCACACATGCTGCAGTAAGCGGCGGTACGGTGGAAACTCGATTTAACGAAGTTTAATGGGACTGGAGCAATTGGTTTGTTATATGAGGGTTCGTTTTATCGAAAACCTCGATTTAACGAATTTACGGAAAACAACTAAAAAGGTCTTTATATCGAGGTATGATTTATAATGCTTGTTTTTTCTTTTTTATTTTTTTGTGGTGTGACGTTGCACAACTTAGCCTTTTGGAATTGGAACGATTAATGTAAATAACATTTGTGCTTTAATGTCTAAATGAAGAATTTAAAAAAACAAACTAAATTAAACGCCTGTATTTATAAGCCATAGTTAGTGGCTATTACAAGGGCCAATGACCATATAGTCTTGGCTGGACTTACGACCGAACCGGAACAGGCGAGGTTGTGAAAAATTTTGAAAATTTTTTAAGCAAGGTGAGAAAAATATTTAGGGGCCACGGTTTAATTTAGTGATAACTTGCAAAACTCCCTGAAGAAGTCGACGACAGTTAGACGAAACGCGTCGGAGAATAGAGAAGTTCTACAGCTACTGGTAATTCAGTGTTAACAACTGAGTTGAAAACGTAAATTGGCCATCCTAAAGGGTAAAAAAGCTGAGGTTTCGAGCGTTAGCCCTCCCTCAGAGTGACGGTGGCCAATTTACGTTTTCAACTCAGTTGTTAACACTAAATTACCTGCTTTACTCTCCCACCGATGCCGCACCACAGTTTATTTAGAAACTTACCCCCTTATTCTACAGCTACTGTTCGCAGAGTGCTGCTCACTTGTTTAGTTTTTAAAAAATTTTTTTTTTAAAAATTGTCACGTGTTGACATTTGTTCTTTATATCGGGGTTTGTTGTTATATCGAGGATTTCGTAATATCGAGGTTCGTTATTTCGAGATTCCGTTTTGTCCCATATATTTTAGCGTAACTTTGCCCGGGCTAAAGAGTATCGTTCATTGTACCGAGGACCTCGCTATATAGAGGTTCGTGAAATCGAGTTTCTGCTGTAACTGTTTTCACCATCGACAGACCAAAATGGATTGGAATTCCTCCCTAAACTTACAATTTATATCGCTGCCCGTTTACTTCACTGCCGTTAAAGCCGAAGTCTACTTTGATATGAAATCTGACAATCGTTTCACAGGCCAGGATCAGGAAAAGCAGATATTTTGATAAAAACATTCCAAGACACAGGTGACTCTGTAGAGAAAGCGCTGAAGGAAGAAGTCAAAGATGCAAAACTTGGGAACGTAGCCGTGGACCGCTACTTATACTCAATTGAGCAGAGTAAAGGTATGACGCGAAAAAAATCATAAGGTGGAGAAAAAGCGAAGTAGCTCATAACTTTTAGTTTAGATCTTTGGGCCATATTTCGTTTAATATCATAACATGACAATTTGTGATAAATTGTTCTTTGCACAGTTCACTCAATCAAGTGAACAAGGACAAGAATGACAAAAAGATGTCGGTCCAAACATTTGTATTGTAACATTCGTATCGACTGGCTAAATGCCTCACATCGGCTACTTACGCATAATGATGGGGAAGTTACAAATCCCATGGCGCTTTGCACTAAATTTTTGCACGTGTAGTTTCCTCAGTAATGCTTATAGTAACTTACCGAGGAGTTTCAGTTGTGAAACATACACCAATGAAAAGACCCACCGACTAGGCTTTTCATTTTATCAAATCTTAAATCTAGACTTTCTTTAAGCGTCTTTGGGCACATTGATTAAAAATTTCGTGAACTCCGAAGGACCCGGAAAGCAATTTTTGAGTGAGCATTGATAAAGCCAGCTTCAGTTTGGTCAGTTTGGTATTAAAGACATTGCGAAGTTTTTTCCTTAGTTGCTAGCCACTCTACCCCTGGACAATCAAATTGAAATGATGAGATAAGAGAAATCCGCACGTTGTAAATATATGTGGTAGTGATGCATCATGGGTGTATAACTTGTCTTCCATTGCTAGGGATTATTAGATTTCTTATTAGTGCATTTTCAATGTCTCCCTTCTCTATAGCGTGCCCATCTGTCTTTGAGAATGTTACATGGAATGACGTAGTTTACGGAGATGTTGACGTACAGCCCTGTCCCAGGGGAGCCAAAGGTCTGCATCATCATATTGAATCGTTCTTCCTTTAAAGAAGCGATAATTGAACGATTATCAGTGTAAATGACTTTCCTATGTTATTGAATGATGATAGTCACACTTTCTTTATTCATATAAAGGCTATAAACAGAAAATGATCTTTGAGGGAAGGAGAGGTGTCTGGCCAAGTTTTTGATCAAACTGTTTGAAGTCTAAAGTTTATTTTTGTTGAAAGGTTTCGCCAAACGGAACTGTTCATCGGCGGGGAACTGGTACTACCCCGACTACACCAACTGTAAAAGTGACGGTTTTGACTATCTGAGAGATCAGGTCAGGATAGAGACTTAAGTTGCTTTTTATTTATTTTTATAGCTACATGAAATGCATTTATGCTACTGAACTATTTTGGAAGCTTATAGGCGAATATAAGCGTTATTTGACTTCTATGATGCCCTTAGTAACGAAAGAGTGTACCATACCAAGACGTCCAGTCCGTTAAAGATGGAACCATCTGTTCAACATCTAAGCGCGCCCTAAAAACAACAACAACTGCTGAATCATAAAGTTTATCAAAAAAAGTGTCATAGCATTTAAATCCCAGAAAATCACCTCAATTCTCGGCCTCGAGCTTATTAGCACAACAGCAGCCAAGAGTTTAAGGGCTTTAAGGCTAAGGTTACGGTTAAGGCTAACCTACGTTCATGGCGATATAAATTACGCGTACAGTTTAGAGGGCACGCGTACTAAATGAGCATGGCAAAAATATGACCAAGAAATATTACGAGAAAAAAGCTTTATTCAGATTTACCAAATATGGTTTTTTCGAGGCAAAAATCTCAGATTTTCTTGCGTATATGTGAGTAGCGTTTAAGATTTACAATGCTTGATTCGTAGTTTACTCAACTTCACAGCAAGAAAATTGCGAAGAGTTGAGTTAAAAATTCTGAAAGTTGTCGCATTTTAAACAAAATCTTCTATTGCACAATACTTCAAGGACATATCAACATTTACCGGGCGAAAGATTGGTCCGAAATAGGCTAAGTTTCACTCTTGCATGCAAATTCAGTTTCCATTTCCCATCCATTATTCGGATCGTGTTTGGGAATCGTACTATTGCTCACTCGATAGCTCTTTCAGCTGCTTTTAAGGCTTCCCAAATCCCTTTTAAAATCGAGTATCCTTTCGTTACCTACTGGAAAAAAATATACATTGGGAAACAGGAAGACGACATGGTGACCTATTCCGAGAACGCCTTCGCGACGTAGAAAGAAATGACGACGGATTCAAACCAGTCGCAAGACACTTAAATCTCCCTAGTTATTCTAAGCAGCACATGGCAGTTTGCGGTCTTTCCCTACATCAAGGCTGTTAGGAAAGCCGAGGACTTTAGAATTAAAATGTATCTTTCAAATCGGCACTCGTAATTCCAACGATATCAACGAACGCTTTTCATTCAACTAATTTACTCTTGTTTTCGTCGCCATGTTCCCACTAATAGCGCAGCTCCATTTTCTGCATATAAACACACACACAAACAACAATTCCTCCATTCTCTCCAACGAAGGGCTAACGCTTAAACCTTCAATTTTAAAACTCTATTCGGTAGCAAATTTACGTTGTTAAGCCAGTTGATAATCCTAAATTATCTTGTTTTATTCTCCCACCCACGCGGCTCCACAGTTTCTTTAGATCCCTACCCATTTTTTCATTTATCCTTCCGTAGATTTAATTTATATATAGAGCTCTTAAAAGTCCATCTCAAACGGGATGGAACGGAAAAAAACGCATTAAAAATCTCAAAACGCGTGGCCTAACTGGTCGGGAAGTTACAGTCGATAGCGGACGAAAATTTTCAATTCTCATGTTTGCTGACGTCATTGGCGTACACAATAGTATTTCTGTCAAACCTGTATTCAGATGCTCTATATTTAGCGGTCACCCTGTATTAAGTGGTCACTTGTCAAAGTCCCGAATTCGTTTTCCCCTTAATCACAGTAACTTTCACCTCTATTGAGCGGTCACCTATATTAAGCGGTCGCGGACACCCGTAACCAAGTCCCAACGGCCATTTTTCATTTTCCTCCACCTGTATTATGAAGCGGGACTACTCTAATGAAAAAAAGGGAGGTTAGTTTCTAAAGAAACTGCGGTGCTGCGTGGTTGCTAGAGCATAACAGGGTAATTTGGTGTTATCAACTTGGTTGATAATACCAAACCACTCTAATGAAACTAAGAATAGTCCTCCATTTCTTAATCCATTTTTTCTCTCCCAAAATAAAAGTAAGAAGTATTTTCCAACGAGAATCTGTACACTAAGAGTTCAATTATGGCATAAAGTAGCGTTGTTCACTGTTTCCTTGTGATACTATGGACTATCTATGGACCTTTAGAGCGATCCAGTGGCGGATCTAGGGGAGGGGTCCGGGGGGCCAGGGCCCCCCTTTTTCGGGGAAAAAAAAAAAAAAGGAATTGCAGCAGGAAGAAAAGCCGGCAGGGCAAGCGAAAAAAAAAAACCGGGCCCCCCCTTGGCTCAAAGTCGACCTGTATTAGGCAGTTACGCCACCATTTCCCGTGGGTGACTGCTAGATACAAGTTCGGCTGTTTGAAGCACGCTCGCGCTTTTGAATTTGGGGACCCGAATTTGCTTGCTTTGTTACAATAGATATTGGTAGTTTCCGTCAACACAGGTGTGACTTGTTGTAACGAGTGTAATGGTTCAATTTGGCTTTACTCTTGAATACACGAATCATACGGAAACGTTCTTTTGTTCAATTTCGTCTTGTAATCAGCACGAACTCTTACGGGTAATTGTTCTTCTCACAGATTAAAGAGTTCTCGGCTAATACTTCTAACAGAGACGACACAGAGAAGAGTATCCTAAAAAGTTTGCAACAACTTTTTACGCTCTTAAAACCACACGACGATTTCGCAGTGCTGGCGGGAGACGCTGATACAAGCGCGGAAATGTTAGAAATAATTGTAAACTATCTAGCAAAAGAAAACAAAGATGTTGCTCACAGTAAAGATGAAATTAAGGTAACCAGGAAGATTGTATACTTAATTGCTTTCTTATATACTTGTTAACTATCGTGTTGGTGTCTAGCTGTCTGCCGGGTACACTGCTCGTTGATTGTTCTTCAACTGATGCTCAGATTCCTGCTATACATACCGCCGACTTTGGACCTCAGTGTTGTCTCTTCCAGTTGCTTAGGAAAATCGCCGGTATTTCTAAAGATATACTCTGCATGACTTTCATGTCTCAGTCTCAAAGTAACTCTTGAGTCACTTCTGGATTAAGTCAGTACGTGTATTGGTTGGGTTTATTCCTAGATCTTTCCTCCTTTATCTTCGCAGGTGGATCTTCGGATTCTTTTGCGTTGCAAGGAAACGAACGTTATGACATTATATGAATAATCGTTTTATCTCTTTTTTTATTTTCTATTTTTTGGCAGCATGTCATTGACGTGGCAAACCATATTCTTCACTGGCATAACGAGCAGGAATTAATAATGGCTCAAAAGGTATTTTTTTTTGTCAAATTATTCGCCAGTAACCATTATACAATAATAATAAACCAGTGAGAAGAAAAGCACAATTTTCTTTTTAGTGATGATGAAGCTAGTTCATTTTATTTGCAGTATTTGCAGACCGCATCAAAATTCATCAGAGTTCTTGAGAAATATGGCCTTCAGGCTGCAAAGGTGGCTTCAGTTGGTGAAGTTAGAAATCTTGCAATATTGATAACTGAGCATGTTGGTAAGCTATCCCGAGGACACTGACTATATAAACAACAATACTATAAGAACACAGATGTAGAACCAGTCAAACTTAAGGACCTGTTAAGTACGTTAAAAACGTTAAGAAATGCAAAATTATGAAGATCACAAATAGAAACAGCCCTGTGTATCAAGTATCTGTTTGAACAGGACTGTTTTGGAGGAAGTAAAGGAATTTAAGGATGTTGGTTTAACCACAGATTAGTATTTAAAGTGAGATTTTCATATTGATAATGTTGTGGAAAAAGTAAACAGAATGCTTGGTTTGATCAAAAGAACTCGTAAAGGTCTTTATGATGTAAAAACGTTGAAAACTCTCTACTGCTCTCTGGTCCGGTCTAATCTAGAATGCTGCTCCGTGGTTTGTCTCGCTATACCAAGAAAAACATTGAAAAACGTGAAAAAGTACAGAAAAGAGCCACCAAATTCATCATAAAGACGACGCATGAGTATGAAACCCGATTGAAGAAACTGAACTTATTGTCACTTGACAAAGAATAGTTTAAGCTGATGTTATTTTCCATTAAGAAGCGCTGAATGACATGATCAATGTTGATATTCAACCTTATGTTGACTTCCATTCAGAAGGCGACCGTTACTCCGATAACTTAACTCTGAAAAAGGAATATGCTAGAACCAACGTGCTAAAATATTAATATTGTCTTAGAACTGTAGAGAGATGGAATGAACTACCAACGGACACTCGTTTTGAAACTAAAAGAAAAGGACATTTAGGTCGAAAGCCAGAAATTATCTATTGTTATAGTCTTATTTAAGTGTGGGAACGAGTGGGGTGTTATTGTTATAATTTAACTTACCCTTTTGGTGGTCTGGTTCTATATGGGGTCAAGGACTCCTTTGCAGATCTTCCATATGGCTTGTTTCATTTCAACATTTATCTTTATTCTTTACTTTTGTGTAGTAGCTAAAACACCTGTATAGGACATGCGGGTTTTTGTTTTAAGAGATAACAATTTACTCTGATTTTTACACTGACAGTTATGGGTGCTGGAGTTGCCGATCCTGAACGAATCTCAAAAGACGTTATTTTTCCAAACTACAACTGGCCAGATTTAGGAAAGATCAAACAACAATGGAACATAACAACGTTTGTAGTATTAAGTCAGCAAATGATTAAAAGCATTAAAGTCGGTAAGTTAGCATTAAAAACTTTGCTATCAGTGTCTTTCGCAGCCCTTTTTTGGGATGTAACGAATAAATGAAAAAACAAAACTAAACAGAAAATATGAATACAAGGAGACTACTCTGTAATTTTCTTTGTACTATTTTTCAACCTTCTTCGGAACTGCAGTAAGTTCTGAATTACTTTTTTGATCATGATTGAAATGAATTGTATTCTTAGGATTGTGGTCGCTTTAGGTAGTTTTAAAGGTCACTTAAGTGATTTTTCGATGCTGGAAGCGACTTGGTGTTGTTGATGATAACTTTGCACGAACCTATTTTCAAATAATGCATGTTACTAAAGGATTGAAAATTTTCCGATTTGCCAATAGAGGTGACTTTTTCGTCCATTGGTATGGTTATTGTTTGACATAAAAAAGCGCAGTCGACTTGGCTTTTTACGTAACACCTTCATAGATACTTTCGATTCGGACGGAAATCAACTGTCTTTGCAGCATTGTGTCCTTGGTTATGATAATAGAGGGAACTCGAGCTTGTTTATGAGTCACTTTTAACTTAAATCTCCTTGTTTATCTTGTCTCTCTGAAGGAGATGATGGAATACGAATTGCTGGATTTCTATTCAAAACTCTGAGACGAGTTCTTTCTTTTGAAAGGTGGGTGACAAAGCACCATTACAGATAATAATATACATTTTGTATGTGAAACTAATCCAAACGTTATGTGAGTTGCATGTATGTTGTCCGAATATTTTGCTTTTGAATCAGGGACCTCATGTCATGTCATGTCGATTATTTTACATTTTACGTTTATTTTGTTAGTGCGTTCAGTGACAAAGGACAAGCGTTTGAAATCAACTCGGTTGTGATTTCTGCCGCTACTGACCCAAAACCGACGGAAAAACTCACTGAGCCCGTCATTATCGCCTCCACTAACCTGGAAGAAGTTGATGTAAGTTTTTCATGCATATGGCAAAATCCATTTGCTTTGATTCCTATATTTTAAGTGTAAGAACAATGAGAACTGAGTTTACTCACTTGGAATTTAATGCCTTTATTTTTTTACTTTCAGCTTGACGGTGCTGAACCGATTTGTGCATTTTGGGATTTTAAGATGTAAGTATAATAAGATGAATGGTAGATTTGCTGATTATCGCCGCGTCTGACAAATGTAGTGCAACGTGACTATTCTTCTCTGTGGAGAGGAACTAAGAAGTTTATTTTCAATTTCTCTGAATGAAAAGATAGTTGATAAATCAAAATAAACACCCATTTAACGTTTACAAGAATGCCTCCCAGTAGAGACTGTACCATCCTATCGGCTGACCTTATCCGGGTGAGTCAACTTAAATCTAGGCTGTTCAAGTTATAGTTTACTCCTTTTGTTTGCGCTTGCACAGGAATGCGCCCCACGGAGGTTGGTCTGATGAGGGTTGTAATACTTCTTCATACAATCGTATGCAAACAACTTGCCAGTGTGATCACATGACCAATTTCGCAGTGTTACAGAAAAAACCGCTGGCTGCCTCCTTCCAAAGGGTAAGTGCTAGGTCAATATCACGGTAACATGTATGGTGAAAGCGGACCACAATGAAACCTCCCAGACACGAATGTTTCATTTGACTTGAGTTTGCTTATGTATTCGACCCTAACCTTACAGCCTGCAATTTTTCGTTTGGTTGAGGTGTTTTTGGTGGCATCAATCTTTATTAAAAAGACAACAGCTAGCAATTTTCTATTCCATGCTAAGTTGCACAAATGATGTTGGCACCGAGTTAATTCTCAGCGCCTATAATACTTACTTTATCCGAGGGGGAGCATCCGCCGAAAAACTCTTTTGAACGTATTCATCACATATTTTACAAAATTATTTCTTCTTCTTTTTGCAGGGATTTCCTAACCCAATTGGTGATTTCATCCATTGTATTTACATCGCTTGTTGGATTATAATCGCGTTTGCGGCGATAACGTTTTTGATCCTCCTGGTTTTAAGCCCGTGAGTAAACTATATGTTAATCATAATTTGCAATCACTTGCCAAATCAAATTAAATTTTTCAGTGATGAAGTTCGTGGTGATTTCTGTTTCAGCTGGCTGAAGCCTGACCGTACATGGGCAATGCATATGTGTGTCTGTGCATCTGTGATTGTAACCTTCGTGTTACTCATGCTTGGCCTGGCATCCTATAATAATGTGGTAAGATCAACGTGTTACTCAGTTAAAGATGTTACGAGCGTAAAGTTCCATACATAGCTCTTTCTGTGTGATAGAGCAGTCTGATTGTCCGTATGGTATGGAGAGCATAACACAGTGATACCCGGGCCAGGGTTTTTGTTATGTCCACCAATTGTCTCCCAGCGGTGAAGGTGAACACAGTGTGTTGTTCACCCTTCGACTGGAGAGACGCAGTGATGAAATAGGTAATTCTGGATCTCGAGTTCCCCAAGGCTGTACTGTGATTTACTGTCATTCTCGCTATGTCAGACGGCAGTTGCGTATTAAGGAATAATGACAAGATTTGTTATTCTCTGGGGAGACTAAGTTTTCCTTATCATAAGCCGGCTGATTAATACCACTGAAGATATCTTCAATTTAAAAGTTCTTCGCCAAGGGCGAATTAACTATTGTTGAGCATGAGGCAAATAATTGTTTTAGTATCATTGCTCAGGTGCTTTCAAATTCTGTTGTAAATTCTTTAAACAATGTAAGCATTGCGCATTTTTTTATTACAATTGCGCTGATTACCTGTATCAAGATGATACAGGTATTTATTGTTTATTGAATTTAATCAAGAATAGTTTTATATCTTTCTTTTAAAAAGTGTTCTGTCAATCTTTTAGCAGCTTTTCTGCTCATTGCAATTGAATTTTTTCTTTTTCGCATTTATTACTTCAAGAAAATGAACGACAATTTTTAAAAACATGTTTCGACAGTTCTTCTGTCATCTTCAGTTCTGAATGATACAAAATACAAAGTTGAATTTAGAGCGTGTAACAAAATGCTGATTGGACAAAACAAACAACAGTAATAGAACAATGTATGCATTTACAAGGAAGTTTTAATAAAATTAATTAAGTGAAGGTTTCTTCCATTGACTGTAGATAGCTTCTTTGATTTTAAGTTGTGGAAGCGTGATCAAAGAAGCTAGCCACATTCAATAGGAGAAACCTTCACTTAGTCATCATCATGTTACTATTGTTTGTTTTGTCCAATCAGCATTTTGTTACACACCTTAAATTCAACTTTGCACTTTGTGTTATTCAGAACTGAAGATGACAGAAGAACTGTCGAAACATGTTTTTAAAAAGTTTCGTTCGTTTTCTTAAATTCGTTACATATCTGCTTCTCTCCAGACATTTATCACTTCCCCTGAAACGTTGACAAAACGCGAGGCAGCCATTTTGACATTTAGTACTCCTGCTACAATTACTTCGCGCGAGGTGATTATAGCGAAACATGAAGCAATCCTCGACGAATCAGAGAGCGCTTCTGTTTGATCACCTGAGCAATTATACTAAAATTGCTTAACGAGTTTACCAGCTAATTTCTTACAAAATGTTTGCATGATTTCGCTATTTTTAGGGGCTGTGTAACCTCTTCTCCTTCTTGGTTCATTATTTTTACCTGTGCACATTTTCTTGGATTCTTGCTGAAAGTGTTTACATGAGAACTTGGGATACTAACTACGGACCAAAGAAGAAATACTGGATTGGATACTTCCTTCTCGGCTGGGGTGAGTATATAACAAGTTTATAATTTGCAGATATTTTATCAAATTGTTTCTTTAGCGTTAAACACTATTCTTTTTCTTATGTGTTCAATTAAGGTCTGCCTGGTATTCCGATGCTTATCACGTGGTTTATAAATAAGATGGCCGGTTTTGATAGCTTCCTTTCGTGAGTATAGCATTTTACGCTTGTATCATAAGGACGTTTTCGTTATCTCATGTGAAACAGTATTTAATGCTCTTTCAATGAATCTTTTCTCACTCCATGCATTTAATTCATCTCAAAGAGTAAACTGTCACGAGTTCTTTAGAGTCAGTAAGAAATGCTTATACTATACTAAAGAGTCACTAAAAGTCCTTCGTTGCTTCTCAAAAAAATTGATTCTGCAGTTGGTGTAGGTGCAAACGTGGTACTCTTTGTTTACAAATGTACGTAGTGCTCCACTCGACGACAGTATTAATCCAATTAAGTTAAGGTAATTCAGACTGTAGGACGTTTAAGAAAATCCTTTTCTTTTAAATTTTTTTTGCTAATTGAACAGTACTAATATTACTTACAACACTCGCAGTACAAGTTACAGAAACTTACACAACTCAAAATACTTACTCTACATACTACAGTACTACTCATACTTCTTACGATTACATACAATACTAACATTACCTAGAAAAACTCATAATTTACAATACTTACTCTAACAATGCACTAACAATGCTTACTCTACTTACAATTACTTACAATACTTACAATTAAATACAATGCAGACATTATTTACAAAACTCGCGTTACAGAAACTTGCTCGACTAATAATGCTTACACTGCTAACAATACTAACACTAATAATTACATGGAATACTGGCATTACGATCGTCATTTTACTAACTTTTTTTTAACAATATTTTTAGTACTACATTATATGCTATACAAAAATTAGTAATATGGGTTTTTTTTTAATAGATACGTACATAAAAGATAAATAATTTGATAAACAAAAAGATGAATAAATAAATATGTAAATAGATGATGAAATAAGTATAGAGTATGTTTATGCACCAGCAGTAATCAGCACTAACTGCACAGAGGCAGAGTACTGAACCAAAACTGATGAAAGAAGCATGTGTCAGGGGAGAAGGGGCAGCGCTACAAAGAGAGAGAAAATAAAGAATTCGAAATGAAATTATCTAGTTGTGTTTGGAAATAGAATGAGCAAATATTATCTCATGCTTTAATAGTAAGAGGAATGTCTACGCACAGTTTGTACAGAGGCTTATATAGGCTGATGTCTACATTTTTGAAAATAATCATTGAGGTTTATGTAAATTGCTTATAATTCACAGTAAAAATAACATTTCTTATGAACAGTTGTAATAACCCGTGGAACTCATGATTTATTTTATTAAGAACTTGCGCCAATTAGTATTCAACTACTGTTTCTTCAGGTGCTGGTTGTCAATATATCCCAACCCCAACCCTTTGGTGTGGGTATTCTTTGCACCAGCTTTAGTGTTCTTCCTGGTAAGATATATTTATCGTGTCTTTTTTATTTAGGGTTGTGACTGAATTTATCATACCAGACACAATTTAAAATTTCGGTTGGTTATGTACCTTATTGGGGCCGATCAAATCATATTTTTATGGAATTAAGGTTGCTACGTATGCAGTGAATTTACTGTTTGCGCAAAAGTATCATCAGACTTGTGAACCGATTGAGGTTGAGCAATTTTGAGGTGATGGAGAAAAAACGCTTTGACACTCGAAGATGTGTATCGTATCTTTAGGTGAGCTGTTGCATTTTGGTAAGAGTGTGGAGAGCTGTGACTGGATCACCGAGACAGAGGCTAAAAGCAGATTATCCAAAAACACGATTCAGGTAAATATAACATTAAGATTGTGATATCATTAATTAAGCACATTGTATCTAAAAATTGAGTAACATGACACTCCATTAGTCATTACCGGTTTATTGAGTCTGATCTTCTTTTTCCTGCGCAATGGTGAGGGCCCTTGCTTCCCTCCATTCAGGTCCGGGTTCGATTCCCGTGCCTGTCGTCACATACGGGTTGACTTTGTTGTTGGTTCTTGTCGTTGCTCCGAAGGTTTTTCTCTGGGTCCTGCGGTTTCCCCCCTCCGCAAAAACCAACGTTCCAAAATCCAATTTGACCACGAAACAGAGAACAGGAAGAGTCACCTCGTGGATTGTCCACTAATTAATCATAATTATTATTATTATTATTATTATTATTATTATTATTATTAAATTATAGTCACTATGAGTTTCTCCCACTGTTTCGACCCCAACTCGTAACCCTGGGTCCCAGTTGAATCCGTGTTCGTGGCTTCCACAGAATATCTTGATCCCAATTTTCTCGAGTTTGCGTTTCTTGCTGTTCCGGCATTTGTTTTTAGAGTACGTGTTTTTTTTTTCACTTATTCAGAGTCCATGTACGTTATTGTATCATCCTGATGATTATGTTTCTAATGACCTGGTTGGTTGGCATTCTTCTCATCCAGTTTTACTGGAAGGCGTTGCTGTGTATTCTGTTTATCATTTGCTGTATCATTACGGTATGGTTTTCTTTTAAATTTTCTTTTTTTTCAAATTTATTACTACCAAATAAACATCTTTGTGAAAGAATTCAGGCCGATTAAAAGGGATTTGATGAAGACATTGTGATCCTCTACAAACTGGCCACTCTCTTCATTCTTGGAAACATTGTTTCGTTCAGTTCAATTTGGTTGATCTCAGATTTCGAGCGTCTTTTCAGTGGTATCCAAACCAAGAAAATTTTGATATTCATTTATCCAAACTGCACGACACATGTCATGAAAATGTGGTTAAAACAACGTGAAAGCGTGACTTTTGAGCCGCTGGGTGGGGTGGCGACATAAATTATCCTTGAAAATTAACAAATCTTTATATGAGTGACATCGCTGACTGGTTGATTAAAGAATTATTTCAGCCTATTGCATAAAACCAGAGTTTTCTTTGATCTTGAACTCATCAACGGGCTGATGCTCAAAATTTATATATTGATAATTATTCTCAAGCAATGTTTTTTGCATTCCAGGGTTTGATGATACTGTTGTTTTATGTGGTCATGGACCGTCAGGTATAGAAAGGAAACGACTGTTTTACATTTTCTTATTTGTGCAGGTTTTTTGACTGAGGCCCTCCTTTTAAAATGAACCGACTCTTATTAACGTGGCTTGGCAATAATGGGATTGTGTCTAACCAAAGAATCAAACTGGAATATATTGTTTTAAGTCGAAAACTACAAAAATCAGGATACTTAAAGAAATACACAAAAGCCAAAAGACAGAGTTTGTGTAGCTCAGTTGCTACAAATTCAATATCGTAGAGAAAATTTTTAGATTCCTATTTTGTGTTCAGGTCCGCGATGCCTTTAGGCAGTGCTGTTGTTACTGCAAACGAGGTCGACAAGGGAGCTACTGGGTTCAAGGAGATGACGTTTGGATCCAAAAGCAACAAGAGCAGCGCGAGGTAAGTGATACTGATTAAAAAGTGTTAATCAATGCTGTTTTTTGTGTCACACACTGCTAATTGAGTTTTGAAAGCTTATTGGCCAAGGCTTAACATAAGATTAACAAGCAGACCACTTTTATTGCTGTTGCCAACAGCTGAACCATTTATTACTCAATTGCACCGCACTCTGCGAAATATCTTTAGCTGCACTTGAACCTTCTTGTATGTCTTGATTGTGAACATCTAATGAAGCTCCGCTTGCCTGTTCGTTTAGCATCGACAGCCAGATACGGAATGTTTAGTTGTTGACGCAGGAGAAGAACCAGACCATGAAAATGAAGAAAAGAAACAAGAGCACGAAGAACCTCTCTTGAGACCAGAAGTCGGGTCTGTATTGAAGGAAAGGCCGTTGTTAGAGTCTTCCGAGGATAGCTTTGATCCTTTGTATGAGAGCGTTAAGCGGCCTATTAGGGTTGACGTTCGGCCAGTCCAGCCCAAAGAGCAGGTAGAAACAGAGCCTATTTATGCTAAGGTAAAGTGTCACGAGAAATATTTTCAACGTCTACATATATTTGTCAGCAGATAATATGTACAGTTATCACGCTAACTTTAATAAGTATTTTACTTATCGTGTTCTTCTTTAAAGTGAAATATGATATGGTGTACTTTATGAGATCCAAGCGTTGTGTTTTCAATAGGTCGATTTAAGTAAGAAGCAAAAACCTCTCAGGCATCCTGAATCAGATAGTGACGATGACGATTTAACTCCAGAAGAAAGGGAAGCACGAGGAATTCGAGGATTGACACGGGAGCAAGTAATCCGCATGGCGAAAAAATCAGACGCCTCAAAAAGAGTCCTTAGAACTTACGAAAGTCCGACAGGAAGCACCGAGGTCCTGGACCCAAATCGGCCAGTGTACTTATTAAATCAGCAGGAACTTGATGAAGAACTCAAACACTTTCGATTATTCTTCGCACAAAACACGCCAGCTTCAACAAGTACACATAGAACGGAAGAAACCGAGATCAGCAGCAGTTTTGTTAGGAAGGAGACATCCACCACAGTGTCAAACACCCAATTTTCGTCCTTCTCGTCGGTTAAAGAAGAAAGAAGTTACTTTCAACGAGGATATGACAAAGACGAGGGCCCTAAAAGTTCAACGACCAAAACAGTCATGAGCCAAGAGAGTTCTTCAGTAAAAACCGGTGTGAACGTCAAAAAAACATCTGCATCGAAAAAGGGGGATACGGCAGCACTGATTTTAGAGGAAACAGCGATTGATTCTTCTTTAGAAGAACTTGACAGAAAGAATGATAATGAGAACAATAAAACTGACCCGTCAAGCAAACCTACAGCTGTGGTAAGATGTGGTCATTTTTGACGTCTTCTCCTGGAGTAGTTTCCAGAACAAAATGAACTATAACATCTGCATGAAATGAAACAGTTTTCCTAACCTACATTTCATGAAATCAATTGATTACTTCGATCAAATTATAATGTCTTGCTTCAATTTAGTTTTTACGGGACTCTTTCAATTAATTTGAACGACCTAAGATCGAATTAATCTTTTTTCACATGATTCTGAATAAATTAAACTAAGGCTGCATAAGTATTAGTAACTGTAGCATCCCTATTTCTTCACAAGAAAAAAAGACACGTAGGAACACGTCAAAAAGTGGTAAATAGTTTAAAATAGTAAAGACATGCCAAAATTTCTAAACTAACAACGCTACCTTGTATTCAAGAATTAGACGATTTGCAAAAGAGTCATTTAAACCGTCTGTGTTAACTGTAGGGCAATGACAAGATTTCTATTTAAAGTTATATTTCTTGTCCTTTTTCTTGGTGTTTAAATTTCGAAGAGAACGTAGATTTCACTTTATTCAATATTTTCCTTTCCCATTATCTAGATGTTCATGCAAATAAGTATTTACGCTCATTACTTCTCTATAGTAGAAAGAAGCTCTGAATTGTTACAAGCTCAACTTTTGAATCACCTTACACTGAAAGACTGCATGAGGTGATATAAAGAAATAAACTGAATATTATTTTTTAACTTCTTTTACTTTTCAGTAGAGTGGCAATGATACTGACGACCTACGTTCAAGTTTGTTGAGTTACTTTACTTCACAGCATCAGCAGGATGTTACAACGGGGGACAACTGGCGTGAATTATATGATGCACTTAAAGAGTGAATTTGTAGCATCGCACCATTTTAGAAGCACTCAGTAAAATTAGATATCAAACAAGCTAAAAATGTGAAAGGTTAAATAGTTCATGTATGATGAGAATGTTATTTCGCTGTTAAAATTCACAGTTGGTGTGCTTTAATCACAGGAAAATTTGTAACAACAACATAACATGCCCAATTACCTTTTTCTTGCGCTTCAAGTGCTATCTTTTTATGACAAACTTTTGTATTTTCATATTTTTCATACCATTGATCCATTTTAAACCATTAGCTCAGTAATCCGAGCTTAAAGAATGCTCTCACCGCTCATCAGTACAAATATTCTTTATCAAAAGTAAAAGTTAATAATAAGCCCATCTCAACATCAACAAATGAATACAACATAAAAATAACAATTACCACAACAAGCAAATATGCTTAGTTTTAGGTTATTAGGTGTTTCAGTTTATGAATTTTGAATTTGTACTTGTTAGTACTGTTACAGTTTTCCTGTTCCTTTTAGGTTCATCAGTATTATTGCTTATCCATTAACATGGCTGCAATTTATGGTTCACTGTTTGTAAATTTACTGATCTTAGTTCATGACATACACTCAAGGTGTCATTTTAAGAATTCAGATAGCTAGGAATACATTCACTATGTGTTATGAGTTATGTGTTTCATTTTGTTTTTTATATCTTAACCTGTTTTATCATATAAACCAGGTTCTAATCTATGGTAACCTTGTCTACAAATCCCTGGATAAGGTTGCTTGAAATAAATAAATTTCACAGTTTAGTCAATTTCTGAAAAGTCTATACCTAGGGCTCACAGACAGGAGCATGTAGAGAATGTTTTGAGCAGAGAGCTGCTTCATCAGGGAAGTTTTTCAAAGAATATCCGTGTGGTAGAAAACATGGAGAATTTGTTTTGTTCATATAATCATTTCTAAGCTCTTTATCAGGATGATGTGCACAAGTTTTGTAAACATTTACCCTCGGACTTTGAATATTCTTAGATGCCGATTTAGTCAATCGTAAAAATAGTTTGTGTGTAGTTAGGAGGAAATAAGTCTATTAAAAGACTCATGGACATGGACAGTTTTGTGTCTTATTTGAAAGTGGGAAATAGAAAATTTGACATAAGACCAGGGTGATGAGGGAATAAAAGACAACTGGTTCTGAAGCCAATGCTAAATAACATATCAACAAAATCAATCTCTTTCACACAGCAGTGAACCCTGGCCACACAATAGGCATTTTTTAAATTCTTTAGACTCCATGAGAAGTCATTTTCTGTCATTCTCAAATGCCATCACTTGGTTGGGATTTGAAATTCAACCAAAATTCAACCAAAAGAAGCCATACTGACAGTGAATAATGGGAGTTTGTTATGAAATAGGTTGTTGTTCATCGTGGTAGTTGGATGATATTATAAGTTTGTTCTGTCGTCTTACGACAAGGTCACATGATGTAGAATGCAATGTTTCGACTGCTTATTGCAAGTCTTCTTCAGGTGATGGGGTCGACTGGTTGTGGCACAGCATTATGTATTTTGGTGGTCTGTTGTGATTGGTGCATTTCGATCCGGCTATTGTTTAATGGGCATTTGTTCCTAAAAAACCCAGGTGAGCTGTGCTCGAGGAAAAATTGCACCAGTTTGTTCCATGAAATTATCCTAAAGAATATAAGAAAAAAGGAGAGTTACAGAAGATTTAACAGTCAAGAATGCAAGAAAATATGAACCTCCAACTACCTTGATGTGAGTTATCTCAAGAGACAACTGTGGTACAGTTTGTTTGACCATTATCCTTGCTAATTGAATAAGGCAGAGCATTGAAATGATGAAGGTGCATTCTAATTGTGCAATTATGAGATAACAAAAATTAAGTCAGGAGACAGACAATATGGGTGGATTATGACTGAGAAGGAAACAATTGTTTTTAGCAGTTTAGGAATTGCACTTTGTAATAAAATGTCAATCAACTTACCTTGATTAAGTGGAGTGAACCTTTGCCACATCCACACACTCCACAAAAATCTTCAACCAAAATAATGCTTTTTCAAGTGCTGACCATCTTAATGTTTTGTTTGCATGGTAGATCCAGAGAAGACAGATTTCAGTTTCAAAACAACTAGTTTATTTCATACAGCCAAAATCATGCACACAGTTACACATAGGATCCAGCTTATTAGCCTCCCAAAGGGGTGTGCCCCATGTCAATCAAGTCATGCCTGGAATTACAGGTAATCAGCTCCTGTCATAATGCTCATTTCAAATAAGTGGCTCAATTTCAAGGCTGAGCAAAGGTTTGTATCAAAATGTTCAACATACAGCTTCCCCATAGCTATCTAAATCATGATGCATGAATGTGTTTAACTTAAGGATGCCTTGTCCTGAAAAAAGAAATCAAAGTGCAAGGCCCTTTCAACTGCAGTTTGAAAAGGCTGTTTTTGTTGTTGTTGTTTTTTTTTTAAACCACACCTCAAAAGTGAGGTTACCAGATCATAGCTAGATAAACTCACTCTGAGAAATCAGTAGCAATTTGCAAAATTCAAAGAGGCACAAGAGGAAAGTTAAAGAAGCAAAAATAAAAGCAATACAAAGTCTCACCTAACAAGAAAATCATCTCAGGTTGATACCTGTTTTTAAAATGACTGATAATTTGTTCTCTTATGAATGAGCATGTCTTTTGCCATTTCACCACCTGATGATCTAAAGGCCCAAAGTTATTTATCCTCTCTTGGATCATAATATATCCAGTTGTGTCCACATTAATAATTAGGCCACTAATTAATAGCACCACTGCAGATAAAAGAGGTTTTCAGGCCACCTAGGTCTAAAAGGCACTTAAAACTGAAAATGATCACTCGTCTGACATTCTCCACCAAGGCTATTGGCAATCCACAGCTGCTGAACCATTACCTGGATATCCCCAAGCATAAGATTTTGTCTCTGTCCTGTTTTCCACAGTGTTTTTCTCATTTTCTGTTTTACCTTGGAGGAGCACCAGTTTTTGAGGTCAAACATGGATTTCACCGCGTTATCTTCACTTACAACTATTTTTTTAATGGGCTGTTTGATCAATGAAATTCATTTAACTAAATTTCCATTTGATCAATGTCACCTAACCGGTGTACAAACCAGATGGAAACTTTCCGTAAATATTAATCTATGTGATGAGTCTAGCCATTGATAACTAAGTGGTCTAAACTGGTTACAGGTAGTTTACATATTAGTCTTTTCGTAGATTGAGCAATTTTTTCAGTATGCAAGTCATAGGATCTGCATGGAGCTAATGGCTATGCACCCCGCTAACGTGTCATAATTATAAAATTAATTTTAGTGCTTCAGTACTATATTTCGCCAAGGTATATGTGCAAGTTTTATTAGCATTCGAGAAAGTAAGCAAAAAGTTTATTTCAGGCTTCTAATTGAGTTTTAGTTTTCCTCCAACCCATATCATAGACCCCATAGGCAGTTTTGATTGTTTCTGTATGTTACTAGTGTTAGTAACTTATTTCAGATCACTGGACCGTTGTTTAAGTGTATGCGTCGAATACCTTTGATGTAATAGACTAGTGTTTTCGGTATGTAGGGCATATACATCCATTAAACTGTCTGGTCCCAAAACAAGCCCCTTTCTGTTGTAGTGTTTAGCAGTTAGCAAAGCTATGTGCTCTTCGGGTGTGGTCTAAGATCATTCCGAGAAGGAACAGCTCGAAGAGAAACACAGGCTTATTTCCTTATGAATGGTTTATCTGTCTTTCCATCGCCAAAATACAACCTTTTCAATGAAACTTTGTTGATTTTCTTTTAAACAAAAGACATTCAAAGAAGATAATTAAATGGCGTCAAGAGTGCAATTTTCACAGAGGAAATTAAAATGTCGTCGCACTCATGCCGAGTACCCATTTTTTTTTTTGGCCTCCTCACCTAGAGGCCTGGTATTGAATGTTTTTTCAAATTTTAATGCGCATGACTTGAATTTTTGCGAGAGGAACAAACAGTAAATATGGGGGATGGCGACGGCATTACAGGCGAAAATTGAGAGTCTGGGAGTAAAATTACGAGAGGAGAACAAATCAAGAGAATGCGAACTGTTAGGAAAAGGAAATGATAAGTCCACCTGCCCGAAAAAGCCTCTTCTTCCTCTAGATCTTACGACGAGTACCCGTCAAGACAGACCAGGTGAAAAGATATGTGTGTATGTGGCACCATGTAATGTGTAGTTGGCAACCTGGTATATACAGGTTTTTCTCTGTTAGAGGTAAATCGCGGTACCATGAATCTCTCAACAGATTTTTTTTGTATTTGGCGTCTCCTTTAAATTCGGTTTCTGTCACTGTTTTGTTGAAAATCAGAAAATACTTGTTTTATTTTTAGGGCGAGATTTATCTTTATTTTGGTTCGTAAATAAGCTTGTGTATTTTGGTGAATGTGATAATACACATAACGTTCGATAACGACTTGGATTGTCACTGTGTGAAGCTTCATACAGTGTTACCGTGTCAATAAAAGAATTCTGTTGTTGAATATCTCAAATTTGATTAATATCCTAAGGTTGGATCAGTCACAAGAACTTTCAAAGCATTAGCTTAGGTTAGGTTTATTCGCTAGTTTTCTCTGTATCTCCATCATCTGTGATTAGCTGTACATGTTGGCAATTTGCTATACGTCTTCAATTTTGTGTGTTGAGGTAATTGAAGGGATTTTAATCGTATTTTCTTTTCCGTTAATTGAATAAGATTTTGAAGTTAACTTTTCAATTTTTAAATGATTGGTTTTATGTGTTGTATATCTTTAACAAATTTTTACATCACTGAAGCTTTGAAATTACTCTGAGTTTTTTGGCTCTTGTCACCATACTTTTCATGAATATTTATTTAGTGAAACTTCAAACTTAACTTTGATTTTGATGTGTTAAGCTACTTGTACTAATTGGGTCTGTAGATTTGTTGGATTTTCATCAAAAATTGCCAGAGTATTTGTATATGCACCAAATTGTACAAGGCTTTTACAAAATTCAAAATATTTCTCCTATAATGTCCCTTCATGTGAGAACAACTGAAATATTTTTTGTCCGGTTTGTTTCAAGGTCCATGGTAATGTGGAGGCTGATAATTCAGTAAAGCAAACAATGTCATTTTTGTATTTAAGGTCTCACACACACCTACCTGAACAAAAACTGTGAAAAATTTTATCATTTTCATTATCTATACTTAATTGCCAATTACAATTGTAATTGTATACATTGTTCTGCTACTATTGTTTGTTTTGTCCAATCAACATTTTGTTACACACTTTAAATTCAACTTTGTACTTTGCAAAATCAGAACTGAAGATGACAGAAGAACTGTCGAAACATGTTTTTAAAAAGTGTTGTTATTTTCTTAAATTCTATACATAGAGTAAATAGTTTTAACTATGGGTTGTTTAAAAGCAGGGCAGATAGGGGAATTTTTCTGGGAGGCACCCAATTTTGTTGATAGCAACCCTAAATAAGGAGGCTAGAAAACTTCAGTGAGAGATAATGTAGTATTGGTGAAAGCAAGAAACAGGTGTTTAAAAATGTACACTACAATTAGGCATCCTTATTGCACATGTTTGTAATTTATAGTTGTAAAAATGAGAGAAATAGAATGTGATGTATAATCAAAACCCTTAATTACTCTCTCCCCCTCTCCTACCTTATACCACATAATCCCCTCATACAATTGAGTCAGGTGGTGCCTCTCTTAAATATGTAAAATATATTGAGTTAAATACATAAAGAAATCTTGGTTATAGTCTATCCTTGCAGTATAGCACCTGATGCATTCACAGAGCGTGGTATATCTGAAAGTTGGACAAATCAATTAGAAACAACTTTTCTGTGACTCTGAGTTTCATGCTTATGCTATCATCAGACAGATTTGAATGAATCATGATCCATTAAAATGTGTCTGATGATCGCATAAGCATAAAACTCAGAGTCACAGAAAAGTTATGTCTTATTGATTTGTCCAACTTAGGTTAAATACATAAATTTTTGTATTATGTTGCTTTCCACAAGGATCAACTGGTAAAAATTTTATTTTTCAAGATAGATTTTGGTTAAATTCTGATATAAATTTTGTGGACATGAGAGAGGAATTTTTTGTCTGATTTAAATTTGGTGATTCAACAGAAACATTTTTAGCGTGGAAAGGAAAGTGAGGCTTCACATGCTTATTTGGCTTTTTGACCAAAGTTGTTGAAAGGGTGAATAAAGTTATGAACTAGATAAATTTCCATTGGGGCCCAGTTGTTCAAAGGGCAGATAACACTATCTAAGAGTTAAATTGCTATCTAGCAGATAGGTGTAAACAAATAGTACTGTGCTATGCACCAGATAGGGATTTATCTTGTGGATAGTGTTATCCACCCTTCAAACAGCCAGGACCATGCAGTATGTTCTGTCAACACTTATCTGGTGGATTTAGAGGATATTACATGGCCGTGCAGGGATACAAATTTTATCTTTGAGTGCTGAAAGTGTCTCTCACAAGTGAGCAAAGGGAACAAGTGAGAGATACTTTTAGCAGGAGAAGATAAAATTTGTATCCCCAAGTGGCCATGTAATGTTCTGTTTATTTTATAAATACTGTGTTAAGTGTGTTAAAAGGTTTTTTCAACCATCCACTAAATGTTAATTTGCTAATTCTTGCAGCTTCTTTCTCTTTTGCAGTGAATTTATCAGTACCATCTCAGCAAAGACTGGGACGGCATCGTCAGTTGCCAGGAAACGCTAGAAGCTGTTGTAGAGAGGACGACAGGTAAGGTCAATTATTTTCAAATGAATGTGATTTTCATTTATTATTTCTGTGTCTGAACATAATTATGTAATATCTGTATACATATACATGGATATGTATTTGTGTAATCAGTTGAATAACAAAATATACCAAATGGAAAATTGATGGCAGAAATGAAACTGGGAGTGATTTGTGCAATGTTTAAGCTAAGTCAGTGCAGTGGCAATCCCAATAACTATGTGTTTTATAATCATGTAATTATATAAATTACTTATTGAAATGAACATGTTAAATTGATTGAAATGAGTGAGCTGACTCTCAAATAATTGAAATGTTGCTGTGTGTTGAATAAATGCATTCACTGTCTTTGTTTCAACAGTCAAATTGAGGCAAAGCTTCAAGAAATAACTAAACAGACTGGGATTCTAAAGTTAAAAGATAAAGTAAGTAATATTCACTTGATATAAATTATGGTAGATCTATAGTTTCTGTACTCAGCAATTTTTTAGGCAATAAGTTAAAAACAATCATTTGTAAGGCTTCTACAAATGTACAGTTGATGCTGCCACAGTGCTCTTGGGATATTGTATTACCTTGTATTGTACGCTCTTCCCCATTACATGAATTTGTTACATGTATTGCAAAATAAATCACATGAAAAGGCTTTTTTGTGATTTCTTCTGTTTTAGTTGATTATGTAGTGCTGATCTGTCTTGGTTCACGAGATAGCTATAAAAACTTTATATAGAGAAAGATATTTTTCATCTTGTCATGAGTGTGGGACAAAGAAAAAATCTGGGTCCCCATGAGGAATCAAACCCAAGACCTTCAGATTCCAATGTTGAAATTGCCAATCCTAGCCATATGCAGGACATGTGTTATATGAACTTCACAATTGATCATGTTCACCTTAGAGTCTCTGTGGCTCAGTGGTAGAGCACTGGAGTGCGAAATCTGAAGGTCTAAGGTTCAATTCCTCATGGGGACTCAGAATTTTTTCTTTGTCCCACTCTCATGACAAGATGAAAAACATCTTTCTTTTTTTCTTTACCAAGCTCAAAACTTACCATCTCTCTTATTCTATTTATTCCAATATACTTTCTGAATATGTGTGCCATTGCTAGCAAATTATGTTTAGAATAGAAGGTATTATGAACATTATCAGTTAATAGCAAATGACCATACACAATAATATTAGTACCACAACTATTTCACAAATGTCACCCAACAGCCAGTAGGATATAACATAGTACCAAAGTAGTTAAAATAGCCAATTTAAGCCTGAAATTTACTGGCTAAAAACTTAAGTTTTCTCAGTCTGTGGTTTGTCACTGTTAAACCCAGGTTTCCTTGTATCCTATTAGGTGTGTTTCTGAATAATAGAACAAGAATAATAGAAATAAACTTTCTAACCTCTTCAAGCATCTGGAAATTATGATGACGATAGATAGATAGATAAACCCTTCAAAGGGCATGTTACATTAAATGAGAATTTCTAACACATGTTTGTATAAATTCCATCAGAGTGTGCATTTCACCATCCATGATTTGGAGGTTGTTGAAGAAATTGGTAGTGGGACATGTGGTCAAGTATGCAAGATGAGGCACAAGAATACTGGAGATGTGTTGGCAGTTAAGGTATATTTTGGTTTTTGAAGAGATTATCAAATAACTTGGGTTATTTTGCATTCCTGTTGTTGGAATTCCCTAGTTGAACCCCTGTTGGAAGTTTTTAATTTGTATAATAATTCTGCAGATCAAATGCAGTGGTAAATATTCAGGCAGAAAATCACTGAATTCACAGAAAAAACAAACCTGCTGATGTAAACTTTATGCTTTGCTGCTCTAGAATTATCAAAAGGAAAGATTCCACATTTTGTGAAACTATCATAGAATTAACCTTTTCACTTCCACAATTTCATCTTCTTACTGTCTGCCTCACAGTTCTTGTGATGTTACTTCAGAGAACTTGGTATTGGGTCAACTAATAATCCCTTGACTGATATTTTTCTTTATTCTCATCACTTGCGTACTTGATTTTGTATTGATATTAAGTTCAAGGGTTAATGCACATAACAAATGAGAGAAAATTTAAAGCAAAGCCATACTGCCTTTGGCAATCATCTCCTTATGTGCAGTTTTAGCTAAAGAAAAAATTCATAAACTAGAAGAAATGAAAGTCTGCTTGTCTATCACGTTAATGCAATGTAAAAAAGAGTGAAAAGAACATGACATAACATCAGCAAACAGTTCTCTCTTTTGACATTGTAAAGAGTAACCTATCCTTACCAAAAATTGTCTTCAAGTGTGCTAAAAAATTTCCTAAGCTTACCACCATTTTTAGTCTTCCTAAGCCACTTGGCTGTTAACCTTAACTCCCATGAGTGACCATGACAGAATTTCTCTTTACAATATCTATACAATATCAACCAGATAAGTGATAAGAATAAAGAATGAGATCAATATGGGTATGATTAGTTGATCCAATTCCAAACTCTCTGAACTCTTGTAAGAATTGTTTGGTTGACAGTAGGGAGAGTTACAAATTTGATCTGGGAGTTTAAGGGTTAATTTGAAACACAGACAAGACAAGTTTAATCTTTGGAATCTCATAATGTTTTAAATAGTAAGCCACCAATGGCATTGGTAAAAATTACCAAATCTCTTGGGCTTATTTCTCCATTAAGCAATAACACTCTGAAGCCTTAGAAAATGCTTTTAGTTAGAAGAATGATAAATTTGTTTTCCTGTTTTTATATGACTTTTGCCTAATTACAATAACGCTTTCCTAGAAAAGAAAAGCAAAAGAGCAAAGACCCAAATAGAAATCAATCAGACAAATTTAAATTTCTACAGACAGAGCTAACCTTTACATCTTTAGGATGGAGAGGAGAAACATGTTTTGCAAATCAATTTTAATACCTTTTTTTTTTGTTTTCCAAAATTTTTAGATCCAAATCAGATTCCTAAAAATGTGTTCTGGACCTGCAAATTTTGATTATCACATGCCTTTTTTGCTGCAGCAAATTGCAATTCAATGCCCATTCATCTGTGTGCAGGGTTTATTTTATAGTAGCATGTTCATAGCCATGCATATAATTTTTAAAGATGATGGAGTTGTAAATTGTATCTTTTTCACCTACATTTTGAAATGTGTAGAAAATGCGCAGGAGTCAAAACAAAGAAGAACAGAAGAGAATAATTATGGATCTTGAAGTTGTGATGAAGTGTCATGGCTGCCCCTTTATTGTCAACTGTCTGGGATCGTTTATTTCCAAGGTGAGGTTATTGTACAGTCCCATCAAGAGTTTTTTCTCACTGGCAACATCCCAATGGGGTATGAAACTAATTTTTAGTGATTTTTTTTAGGAGTACCAGAAGTTCTATTTTTAGTGTAGATCATCTTTTGTTTTGTAAAATTTTTCATGGTCATTTTCCTTACATTTAGTAATAATTATAGATAAAACATTGTCATTAAACATTATTGCCAAGGAGCATTGGAAATTAAGGTAGACAAATGAAATGTGTACAGTCAGATCATTCTAATTTATGTAAGATGTCACCCAGTTAATGAAAATGTTTGGGTCTGTTTTGAAAGATTAGGTAAGTAGGTGTGATATCAATCTATGAAAGGATAAGAATGCTCCAGAAACCATACATTTGCTATCCCCACCATATCAAAGAATATATGAACTTATGACAATGATCATGCTATGGGATTTTAAAGAGTAACCTAACCTGGTGAAAATCCATTTCAAATGTTCTTAAAATTTAACATTAGATGCCATCATTTTGAACCATCCTTTGGAACCTGTTACTTAACAAACCATCATTACCATTTATGTTCATCTTGTGACAGTTTCTTTCAGTGTTGAGTTTTATGAGATGTAAATAATCCTGTTAATTGCTTATCTATAATTCTGTGAAAATTTTAGTTGTTGTATTCTGTAGTTATGTGAATGGGCTTTGCTATTATTAATGCATGGAATAAAATGTCCAATAACCCTTCACACAAATTTAATGGGATAATTCAACTCTAACTCTGGAAAATTATTGATTTAAAACAAAAGATGCTCATAAGAGCCACTTAAGCATTAGCCTGTGAGTACTGCATGGTAGTAATTGCTTAGGGTCTAGGGTTAGGGTTTAGGGTTAGGGTTTAGGGTTAGGGATTAAGGTTGCTTGATTGTGATTCTTGTTTTTCAGTCTGATGTTTTCATTTGTATGGAGTTAATGACAACATGTCTGGATAAATTGATGAAAAAACTCCAGTTTCCAATTCCAGAAGATGTGCTGGGGAAAATATCTGTTTCTGTGAGTACATTCTACCAGCGTACATGTATGTAGATATAAATGCAAGATTCCTGTTACAACAGAGTTGCATTGTTTACAACCCTCTCTGTTAACTTTATAATATAATAATATAACTGTAAAAATTTTGCCCTACTTATTGGCTGAAAATGAGTGCCTTTTTCAAGTAATACAACTGCAAAGTTGTAACACAAGTGCAAATTAAAAATAGTGCCAGCTGTCTGAATTTTGTCTGGCTTGACTTTCAGGGATACTTTTTTCATGTGAATTATTGATAAGTAACAACATAATTTCTTGTATAATGTGGTGCACATAAGCACTTGTAGTTTTTCCAAAGACTTAAAATTGCACTCACCCTATGGACCTATGCAATGTTGTGCTTCTTCCAAATTGCATTTGAAATCATGTTATTACCCATATTAATTTGTTCAATTGTGTGAAAGGTTGGGTCGAATTACAGATTAAGGACTAAGGGGGTGGGCTGTGTATGTCTACTATTTTCTTCTTAATCCCCTTTACATTACATGCTGGCAATATGCCATGTTTGCTATTATTGTTCTTTTTCTGACTGTATACTCCATGTTTGTATTTTGTCATTTGCTATTCTGAATCCATCATCCAAACTGTACTGGAACATGAACTGGAACATTTTGGTATGAAACTGCACAAACTAGATTTATTTTGCACAACCAGTGCTCTCAAAACTGAATAACACTTGATGATGGTACTGTCATTCATGTACAGTTGGTTTATAACTGTGCACTAACTTATGCCAGCCTTTAGAAGGTGCTAAATAGCGCTTGATGAGTGTACTGACATACACTTAAATTATCAATGTGCACTTACTCATACAAGCCTTAAGAAGGTGCTAAATAGCGCTTGATGAGTGTACTGACATACACTTGAATTATCAATGTGCACTTACTCATACAAGCCTCAAGGAGGTGCTTAATATTGAGAAAATTAAGAAGAAGAAGAAGAAGACCTTTATTTATTCAGGATAACCCATTCAGATGCTCTAAGCACTGCTATTAATTGGGGCACTGATAAAAATTAAAATGATAAGACCTACACAATCATGCTAAAATACTACTTCTACTGGTAACCCTTATGAAAAGTTAAGTTAATCTTAAAATATGGGCTATATACAGTTACAGTAAAAATGAATAAAATCTTGAAACATTAAAAATTTAGCTTATTGAAGATTACAGAAACATTAAAATAAAAAGATTTTTTAGCTAAGTCAGTTCTAACCCTTGGCAAGTGTAACATGTTCATTTGCCTCGTAATTCGATTGTGGACAGAACTGTTAAAAATAAAATAGTTTTTAAAAAATTGTGGACGACGTCCTTTAATGCATCTTTTGACGAGTTCATCAACATGGCTCTCTCGTTTATTTACCAGAGATGGCCACTTTAGGTAACCCAAAGCTCTGTCACTGTCGCTCATTTTTGAAACAATTTTAGCGGCACGTCTTTGAAGCCTCTCCAATGACGAACTGTTGCCAGCTCCGCAGCAGTTCCACACGGTGTCACAATAATCCAAAATAGGACGAATATAAGCTGTGTAAATGGAATTAGCACAGTCAGATGTAAGATTCCCCCTAATGCGTCCTAGCATTCCCAGTTGTTTACCAAATCGGGACAAACATACTTAACATGAGAATTCCAAGAAATATGTTCAACAACACCTAAATACTTGAATTATGATTACTTTGTAACCAAAAACCCTTTGTAAGGTTTGTAAGGTTATGTTTTGCCGTTTTCCTAAATAGACATTAGTTTATTTTAGCTATAGTGCATCTCAGCTTGTTAGTGGAAATCATGGAATCATCGAATGATAGAAATTCTCTCACTGTTTCTATTTGTTACTTGTTCAGATTGTCAAGGCTTTGAATTATTTAAAGGAGACCCATGGAGTTATGCACAGAGGCAAGTCATCAAAGAAATTAAACTATGACTCTGAGATGTGTATCAAGTAGAAGGGTTTGTCATTGATGCTTAAGACGGTGTATTACTCAATGTTTGATCGACTTACTTTAGTTCCGCTTTATGTATTCCAGATGTCAAACCATCCAATGTTTTACTGGACCAGAATGGTTCCGTGAAACTTTGTGATTTTGGTATCAGTGGTCGTTTGGTCGATTCAAAAGCAAAGACAAGAAGTGCAGGATGTGCGGCCTACATGGCAGTGAGTTAAAAACTTGTTTTAATTTAAATTCCATTCCGTTTTCTCAGTTTCTTAGACTTCGTCGTTTATGTTGTGATGACTCTGATTTTTTTCAACAAATCATCAGAAGCAGTGTGCCAGTTTTTCGGAAAACGTGGCTACCTTGTTTCTGTCGTTCAAGTAGGCCACCACCGCGCCCAACAAATTAATCGACAGTCAGCACTACAAACGGCACAAAAGGAAATTACCAATCGCATACCATTCATTCTCACATTATACTCTCACAACCAAGCCGTTGAATCCATCATTCTTAAAAACTTTAAAGTACTTAAAAATGAATCTGATACGGGTACTATCTTTTCGCAACCTCCACTAATTTCATTCAAACGTTGCAAACGAGTTTCTTGTTTTCACGTCCTTTCAGTCTTAAAGCAGTTGTCGGCAAATGGTTTTTAGGTTTGTTCTAAGCTATGAATTACTGTGCTTCTATACCGATTTTCTACCTCTTAATTAAATTGTCTAATACTTTTTTAACAGCCGGAGCGCATTGACCCGCCAGACCCTATGAACCCCGATTATGACGTCAGAGCAGATGTGTGGAGCTTGGGAATAAGTTTGGTGAGCAAAGTCTTGTCCTTTTTTTT